AAAAGTGTTGCCTAAAGGCATATCCTAAGTGTTGCATTTTATTTGAAAAAGTGTTGCATAAAATGCTTATCAAAATGTTGCAAAAAAGTGTTGCATTTGAGACATTTATGCACCACTTCCATTCAATGTTGCATAATAAGAGAAAAAGTGTTGCATAATATTTTATGCAACGAGACCTGAAGTAACGCTCATAAAAGTGTTACATAAGCCTTTTGTAACATTTTAATGATCTAATGTAACATTTTGAAAGCGTTGCCAAAAGAAAGACTCATGCATCGATACCCTGATGAAAGCCATACAACCAGAGCTACGAAAGGTCTGTAATGTTCGTAAAATGAGCATGCAAATCATGTGGCCTGGTAAACTAAATATCCACCCTTTTATAGAAGAGGATTAAGCATTGTCCCTGCAAAGATGATAGACCCCGACACATCTTCTTGAATGAAGAAGGCAAAGGGATGGTCTGCCACAAAGTCTATTTTCTCTTCGATTGGCATATAAAAGCATTTTTCATCATAATCCATCATAGTAAACGCAGCAGCTTCTGTTCCTCTCTCGTTAACATCAACAACACACTTGTGGGAGATCAATGGTACGAAGGGTCTCTCTAGCGGGTTGACAACCATTTCTCTTAGGTCATCACTTGAAAGCTCCACCCCAAGCTCCCGTAGAGTACTTAAAACATTCAAGCTAAAGCTTACTTTGAATTTCGGTATATAAAATTCACCAACTCTCACTTGCTTGTTTAGGACGTGGCGCTCCAGAAATTTGGAGTTTTCGGTAATGGTTTCCATCAAAGGCAGTAGACCATCTTTTGCATTTGGCAAGATGATGTACATCGAAAATTGTCGACCATTATCCTCACCTCGACTATATGGCAATCTCAGGATTTTGAAGTCATTGAATGCTTTCACATATTGGTCCTCACTGCTACTCATAAAGGGTACCTGGACAGATGCTCCGTTCATAAGGTAGAAATCCCTATCTATCGTGCAACTTTCATCAAACTCCTCAGCCCAAACTGCTTTGAAATAAACTGCATTTACTAGAATGAGGACAGTTTCATGGTTAACATCACTCTCACAAACGGCATTTTTTATAAGACCGCTTGTTTGCCTTCCCATCCACAAATTAACATCATTTACAACTTGACGTGCCTGTACGAAGTTTACAACACCATCACCATTATGCATGTCATTTTAATAAAATAACAAAACACACTCACAACAAATTAAAAGATTACCTTTAATTGCAATAAAATTAAGTTCCTAAACAAAATTACTATATACAGAGTATTTATTTCTAAATACACTTAGTTATTGCCATCCGGAAATGATAATGGTGTGTTTTATAGTAATAATGTGATACTAATGTCCGATAATTTTCTAATACTCCCTCCGTATTTAAAACTTCGCTACACTTTTTTTTTGGGATTTATTTAAAAGTTTCATACACTTTCATTTTTGGTAAGTTTACCCTTTTTGCTTTCATACTTTTATACATTCTCTCATACTTTTGCTATACTACTATTCATTACCCCTATTATTCTATCCTAAAATATTGTGCCCAAAGCTAGCAGTGAACATTTAAATAGGGCGGGAGCATTAATAATTTCAGGGCAACAATATTTTTCTCTAACTTCGAAAAAACATACAGAGTACGTAGTATATAGTACTGTGGTTTAAAGAAGCAACCATAATTATAATTACTCCTGTTTTGAAAGTGCTCCCCAATAAAAACAAGCTACGTCATATCAACAACATGCGTGCTAAATAGTTTCCTGATTGTTATTCGAAGTTTATATATAGGTAGATTCTATGGTACCCCAAAGGTACCGTACCTTTGTCCAAATGGACCAATCAGAATGATACAAATTAAAAAATATATAATGATTTGGACCAATTAAATGTATGGTAGGTACGGTACCCCATTTTATAAATGGGTACCGGAGTTGTCACCATATATATATATATATATATATTAAGCGAGCGGTCAAACATGAAAACAAATAAAAACTGAATTATTATTATTATTTTGATATTATTATTTGTATAGACACACACTAGTTAAAGTACGTTCTTCAAATTTGTTGACACATACTCCCTCCGTAACTTTAAAACCTTCCCATTTCAAAAGTAGGTAGATTAAGAATAGTGAAAGAGTATGAATTATTGAGGGTATGATGGGAAGATAGTGGGATAATGTGATGCAATGTAGGATAAATCCAAAGAAAGTAGTTGTAATAATGTATTATTTTAGAAATTATTGAGGATATGAAGGGAAGATTTAGAAATGGGAAGATTTTTTTGTTACGGACGAAAAAGGAAATGAGAAGATTTTTTTGTTACGGACGGAGTACGTAGTACATAAGAAAAAGACCGTGAATTGTCTTAGAGCCCGTTTGGTAGCAACAAAATCGGCTGTTTTGGCTGATTCTGCTGAAATTTATGATATTCTGGCTGGAGTGGCTGTTTTGGCTGATTCTGCTGATTTAAGAAAAAAATATTTTAAAAATATATTTTATTAATAAATTAAAGAAAAAATTATATGTAAAAATAGCTAAAATGGTCCTCTACAGTAACTTCAGCCAATACAGCCAGAAAAGTAACCCCAACCTTACTTTTTCGGCTTATTACACAATTCAGCGCGCGAAAGTAAAGTTACGTGTTTGGTGAAAAAGCTGGCTGATAAGCCTGATAAGCCGAAAACAGAGTTCTCCAAACGGGCTCTTAATAATATACAGAGTACATTTGAGTAAATTCCAGCAACGATTAACATAAATAATTCATAAAAACTACCTTAATCATACTCTGGGTTATATTCTCTTTATTTTCCTATAAAGGTTGAAAAGAAGCCCCACCACATCAGAATTTCGTGGAAGGCGGCTAATCTATGGTGTACTTCATGAATGTAGAACAGAATATTGACTAAATTGAAATGTTATGTTTATCTTAAAAATGACTTCTGGCGTGGGGATGTAGATTAATAAACAAATTTGGTTTTCCTCCTCACAGGCTTGTATCTCGCTACCTCGTGATCCGCTCTTTTTAATGCCAACCCCCATTCAAAAACGGGCATGGCTCCACTATAAAGTTTAACTAGTTTTTCCCCAAAATAATGTTAAATAAATAGATATGAGAAAACTGTCAAATAGACTCTATACTATAAAGAAAAGTCAATTTAGCCCTCTCATCATCAAAACATTCAATCAACCGCTGAATTGAAAAAAAAAACACCCCATTTTTACTTTTAGTTGGAACTTAGAAGTCACTAAGTGAAAACTCATACTAGTTCAAGATGTTACTATTTGACAAAGAGAGATACTATAATATTTTAGTGATGACAACAAAAAAAAGAAATTAAAACAAACAAGGGGTATGTTTGGAAAATGGCTTATCAGCCGGCTTTTAGCTTGTTTGACCCATTTCAGTTGTTTGATTGGTCAAAGAAACTAATAATGATGTTTGGTAAATGACTTTTAAAATTAGCTTGTTGAGTTTGAAAAGCTGAAAAAATGGATTGTTGGAGAAGCTAAGGGGAGCAGCTTCTTCATTCGGCTGGTTCAATTTACACACTAAGTCGTTTCGAAACAACCAATTTTACCAAACAGTTATCTATAATCAGTTAACATAACCAGCCGATCAAAACAGCTAACAATAACAGCTGACACAACCAGCTAACAGCAACGGTTAACCGCCATTTGCCAAACATACCCAAATTAAATAACGTATATATGTATACGTAGGACTTTTTCCAATAGAGTTTTCCCAAGCTATGTGTTGACTAGTTACGTTATTCCCGGCCTCCAACAAAGTGAGAACCCTAAATTTATCATTACGCTAAAAATTAAAGCCACATTACCAACAACGTTTGTTAGAAAGATAGAAAACGATTAACAAACCATAAAAATATCTCGACAATTATTAATCACCTTAACAAGCAAAAAAACAAGCAATTGTTGTGTATAGTAAAATGACCATGCAAATTATGTTTAAACCAAATATGCACCCTTTCATTGAAGAGGATTAAGCAGTGTCCCTCCAAAGATGATAGTCCCCGATACATCTTCTTGAATGAAGAAGCTAAGGCAAAGGGATGGTCTGCCACAAAGTCTATTTCCTCTGGCATATAACAACTTGTGAACTTATACCCCATAAACACAGCAGCTTCTGTTCCTCTCTCGTTAACATCAACAACACACTTGTGAGAAATGAATGGTACAAAGGGTCTCTCAAGCGGGTTGACAACCATTTCTCTTAGATCATCACCAGAAAGCTCCACCCCATGTTGAAGATGGAGCCTTGTTATGAGTTCTGGTATATACCCGACCGGGTATGGTAGGTTACCCGACCGAGTATGAGTAAAAAGTTTACTCGGGTAACAACCTGTGTTCTATACTCGATCGAGTATGGAGGTATACTCGATCGAGTATGCGTAATTATCTTAGTCGAGGAACAGCCTGGAATCTATACCCGATCGAGTATGGGTGTATACTCGATCAAATATGCATAGAAATCATACTCGAGTAGTAGTCTGTAATCTATCACTACTACATTTAGAGGGCTTTTGTAACGGTCAACTTTGTTACTATTGGTCTAAAAATCTGTTACAATATACTAAATGTAACAGTTTTGTGCCGTTACATTCGCTGGCGTTGCCTTTTCTCTAATGTAACGCTATGTAATGACTTTTAGAACCAATTGTAACGCCCTTCTCAACCAACTTCAAGTGTTACCACAATTGTTACTATAGATTGAGTACAACTGTAACGGTCTTTAACGTAAACAAATGTAACACCTGAGAAAATTAGGTAACAAATGTCTCATTTATTTATTATCTAACATATAAAAAATTATCTAACATAATACCTATATATATATATATATATATAACTAGACAGAATAAAGGATGTCACATGATGTTTTATTCAAAATGACAACATTATACAACAAAATTAGGGGGGACATGAACCTTACCCCTAAAACAAAAATAAGTAGTAGCTCAAGTGTACGTGGGGTATTTCCAAAGTCTAACAAACCCCTAAAACATTTGAGAGTAAACTAGCAATACTAAAAATGCACTAAAGCTACTAATTTAAGAACTAGACTTTGCTAAAGAATGGGCGGTGTACATAGTTCGCCTCCCTAAGACAATGCCTGATAGATAACCTTCCCAAGTGATGATCCAGCCTCGGAATGCCTTTTATCTCGGATCACAGCTTACCAGGAGACTCAAATTCAACTTAGAATTGAGGGTATTCAGCATTAACAACTCATCAAGTAGCCTGAAGATTTAGCGTGACATGCATCTTTCATTATTTTGTTATATTTCATCCTTCTCATGACTACCTTTTCCTATAAAACAAAACATCAAATTATTAGCACACATAGAATTAGATAAAAGGGGAAAGCAAATAATGGTTAGAAAAGTCAATATGATAGATGATTATCGACAACATCTCTACTTTTTTTAACAATATCAAACACATACTATTTTCCATCAAATGAAGTGAGTGAAAATTTACGAAGGATAAAAACAAAAAGTAATAAACCTAATAAAAACTATAAAACCAATATTGAGAGGCCTGGAGAAACTATTTGAATATGGAGGTAATAAAAATTATTAATTCCCAAACTAATATGCCCTTCAAAGAATTTCCCAAATTAAACTTAATTCTCTTAATATAATACGGAGTAGCTTAACAGGATATTAGAATATCTCTGGTCGGTTCAGAGGTTCTACACCAGTTGACCGTGTTGCACCAGTTCCATGCACAAACTAGCTGTCATGGCTGATAAAGTGATAAGCTTCAGGAAGTTGGAGTCCCACGCTGGCAGCAGATTTTCTCAAAACTTTTTTCATCTCATCAGACCTATTGACTGCGATATTATTAGAAAAGAGTAAGTCCTTTTGATGGTGAACACTATTGAGGAGGAAGGTGTAATCTTTGGCAAGCTTTAACCTACCCTCTTGATGAGTCTGGGAAAGACCCTTCTTAGTAGCAGCAGCAGCTTCGGTATTGTTGCTCGTCCTGAACTCCTCTCTTATAAAGTCGGTGAAATGGGCTTTGTGCTCTTCCCTTCCGATGTGTTTCTTCACTCCTTTCACAAGGTTTCTGTAAACCTCCTTCCCCATTGATTTTCTCCCACGCAACCTCGTGTATTGGCTCTGAATAAATCTGCAATTAAATATACTGTTATCGACAAACTCCCATTTTCGAAAACTCTAGACAATCCAGGTTTAGGATTTTTTTAAAAAAATTGTTCTATTGTAAGAAAAGGTTGAATCATTGAGACTAATAGAAATTCGAGATGACGGTAGAGTATAGGCCGGAGAGGCACTTCTCAGGTGATCAGCTTGGGTCTAGCATTGCAATTGAGTGTCAGTCCCTATCGACAACCTCTCTACTCTTGGGTGATATATTATTGTTTGGATAACCGTTAAAACCCAATATAAGAAGGGATTTGGCAACACACTGCCTCACCTAACCAAATACATGGCACGTCCACTACATCAAAATCTAAACAAACTAACCAGCAACCACTCACAAATGTAGTCATATAAATTCAATTATGCAATACACTGACTCATTTATAAAGTACATGGCTCACTCACAACAACACGGCCTAAGCAAACTAACCATCCATCCCACACATACATACAATCATATAAATTCAGAAAACTCCAGTAACATGTTGCCTCATCTCAGACCTTATAAGTAGTTTTAAGCCAAACACCAAATCTGATTGTAATTTCAGAAAGTAAATATAAAGTAAGGATCATTAATGTAAGAAGATAAATTATCATACCTCTGCAATTAAACGTGAAATCATCCCAGATTAATATAGACTGCAGTTTCCTCTCTTTTGGTACTTATGATAAGCAACGCTGCCGGCGTATTCCAAAATCTGAAACATTCAATAGTAAAACAACTTCGGACATAGCAACACTTACGTATTTATACACACGGAGCCAGGATGTATTATACACATATGAACGTAACTAGCTGAAATTCACCTATTCAATTAATTACATACAAAAGAGAAACAATTGCAAGATCCACCAAGTTCAAAATCCACAACTGCACTGATCCATTACAACCCAAGCAAATGAAGTTGTGCAAAATCATTCAAAGAATATCCATCAAGTTCAAAACAATTGCACTAGAACCGCACTGGCTATATTAAGTTCTTTGGCAGAGACATAACTTTGATAAGTAGCATTAAAAGATGCAAATTCTGAACAAGGAAAGCACACCCAAACAACACATATAAATAAAAACTTGCTCAAAGAATAACTCCCAAAGTAAATCAGAGAACGCAGATGCATTTATCATACACTTCATTAAACATTTTGTCAAATAGTTAGCGCATATATAAGACTCTGAATACATGAAAGAATATACAAATTTACTTTTGATACAATCTATCAAACATTTTATCAATCACTCAACACACACTTTAAATACATGAACAAATACATGAAGTACTTTATATATGTAACCTTTGAAACATTTTGTCGAACACTTTACCTACAGTCATATATATATATGTTCACACTTTATAAAATTGAATGTTAAAAAACATTTTGATACAAAATACTTTGTAGTTGTGCTGGACAGTAAAACTGAGTGCATACTGCATAGTTAAAACTATGTTCAGGACTACTTCAAATACTCCTCCTGAAGCGAACGATGGAGAAAGCAAAAGACAAAAGTATAGTATCTCTCAAATTAATTGGGGCATAAACTCTTAAATTAAATAGCAAGAGATGAAGAAGAAAGAAAAAACTCAATCACAAAAACCTAATTCAGGGTTGTACTCTAATGTGCCGTCAAAACAAAATCTCAAACTTAAACCTAATTTTCGAAAATTTATATTGTAAATATAATATAAAGTACTGAAGGAGTTCAGTCACATAAAATAGGTGGAAAAATACCGCAGATGGAGAAATCGCAGGAATTAGATCCACTAGAAAGAAAGTGATTGTCCTGAAAAATCGAGAAATACAGAAAGTGAGAAAACTATTAATTAAAAGAGGAAGATTTTATAGAGAAAAGAGAGAGATTTTACTTGTTACGCCATGTGAGGATGTGGCAGACTCGGCATAGAAGTCTTCTCAGGAGTTGACGATTTGTACAGAGAAGTTTCTAGGCTAATTTGAGCGTAGCAGATACTCCGTATATTTTAGTAAGCGTGAGCAGAGAGGGTAGAGAAAATGGTGAGGCGGCCGAAAAAATAGAGAAGTTTTGTGGTATACGTAGTGCTATGATATTTACTCTGCAGGTGGAATTATTTTGCAGCTGAAACTTTCACTTAGGGTTTTCGCCCATCCCGCATTTAAGCAATTTAAGCGCCATAGTTTTAGTTGAAATTTCAATGAAAATATGGCGCTCATTTTTGCCGCTTCAAAGGTGTTACATTAGGATCCACCAAAAGTAACACCGGTTGATCAAATGTAATAGTTTATTGAATCGTATAACAGCGTTACAATAGCATTAGAGTAAATGCAACACTTTTGACATAAGTGTAACACCACATTGAAAACTATTACATTAGACACGTTTTTTGTAACACTTTAGACAAATGTTACAATTTTTTTGTTACATTAGACCCAAAAATGTAGTAGTGTATACTCGATCGAGTAAGAATGTATACTCGATCGAGTATACGTGAATCTCAGTTACGGGATTAATTTTGGGCTTGCGGCTCTAATCACTTTTTAGGTTTCCTTAAACCTATTTAAACACCTCTAATGTATCTGTAAACATATCAGATGCCGGAATAATAGGAAATCTCTCTCTCGTTCGCTGTGGACTAGCACAATCACCCCGATTGTGTGAACCACGTAAATTCTTGTGTTCTTGCTCTTTAATTTGTCGTTTTTTATCTTAATCCTTAATCGTAACACCCCAAGCTCCCGTAGAGTACTTAATACATCCAAGCTAAAGCTTAGTTTAAATTTTGGAATACAAAATTCACCTACTTTCACTTTTTTCTTTGGGGCATGGCGCTCTAGAAGTCCGGAGCTTTGGGTAATGGTTTCCATCAAAGGCACTAAACCATCTTTTTCATTTGGTAAGATGATGTACATGGAAAAGTGTCGACCATTATCCTCACCTCGTCTATATGGCAATCTCAAGATTTTGAAATCATTGAATGGTTTCACATATTGGTCCTCACTGCTACTCATAAAGGGTACTTGGACAGATGCTCCGCTCATACGGTAGAAATCCCTATTTCTTGTGCAACTTTCATCTAACTCCTCATTCCGAACTCCTTTGAAATAAATTGTGCGCATTTGCTAAAATGAGGATCGTGTTACGGTTAACATCACTCTTTGAAACTGCATCTTTTATAAGGCCGCCTGTTTTCTTCCCAATCCACAAATTCACATCATTCACCACTTCACTTGCCTATACACTCGGAGTATACCCAGCACCACCAGCATAGTGCCATTTTAATTAGATAAGAAAACACTCACAACAATCAAACAAGAAATTACCTTACATTACCCGGAGTGAAGTTTTGATAATTTGAAAACTATCAAATAAGCCCATCGATCTACTATTTTCAAAAAGTCAATTGAACCCCTCAACTAAAAGAACACTTAATGAAACCCACCAACAGCTAAAAACGAAGCATATAAAAAACGTTTGAGTAATTTTGAGAAACAGTTAACATAAAAAAAAGTTTATTTCTTTTTAACATTATACTAAGGTATTAATAAAATGCCACGATGAAATTAAATACTGCTGGGAATGTGAAAGTTTTATACTCCGCATCTACTGCAAATTAAAAGAACAAACAATACGATAGCAAAACAGTGAAAAAGCAAAAACCTGGTAACGAAAGTCAACCGATTGAAGAGCTGCATGGTAGGAATTTGCCAAGAGATGCTTATAGGAGGGGTTAAAAGTGAGAGTCCGCTCCATCCAAGCACCGTTAGCCGCCGCGATGCTCGGGCCGCCGGTGCGACTGCCGTCAACGAGGAGTTTCGTGACGGCGTGGGAGGCAAAAGCATCAAAGTCAGCGGTGGAGTCGGCGTTGAGGAAAGAGAGAAGGCTGCGGCGTGTTTGGCCGGTGGAGCCGGCGGCGACCATTCCCATTAACATGTTAACTGAGAGGGGAGAGAAGGCGACGTTGCCCTCTCCTTTGACCACGTCAAAGAAGACATGCTTCGCTAGCTTTAAGGAAGCGCCCGCCTGGTTCGCAATGATTTTAGGGAGCTTCATTCTTGCAGGACCAGGCTAAGGGTTTAATTAGCTATATACCGCGGCCGTACTTAGTTGCGCTTTAGGCAGGACCTACCTCAGGGTTTTACTCCCTCCGTAACATAAAGATCTTCCCATTTTGATTTTTCACGGTCTTCTAAGTTGAACTTTGACTGCAAATATCTACATATCTATATTTATAAAATTCATAATAAATTAACATTCAAATAATATGTTTTACAATGAGTTATATAAAATAAATTTTTAATCATAACATAATGTGAGTTTTGAATAATTAATGGTCAAAGTTCATAAAGTTTGACCCAAAAGAGTCAAACTGGGAAGATTCTAGCGTTACGGAGGTAGTATATACATTCACGCCGTGCTACATCGCTAGCTAGTAGCTGTGGGCCTCTAATTATAATTGATCTCATTCATACATTGTACTACGTATGATTGGGCCAAGAATGAAAACAACTTATGGAGTAAGGAGTGTACTATAAATAATTATACATAACACGTTTGTTTGAGAGATATGATTATGGAATGTTTTGTATGTCTGATGCAGTAATGATGTTTTTATTTTGGCTGTAATTTACTTGTCTTATCTGAACTGGTCTGATCTTGTCTCTTTGTGTTTTTATAATTATACAAGTTTCATCTGGTATGATTTTTTTGGTCTGTAATGGATTACAGTCCTAAGTAAAAACATCCTAAACAACCCTTTCATAGTGTAGATTCTCTTCCTAATTTAAAATTATGTTCTAAAATTTAGATGTAACTGAAAGCCCTTACATAATTACATTAATTAATCTAGATTACTTTGTAGATTATCACTCCAAAAGCTCTTCCTTAGAGGGTCACACGAACGTCTAAAATCTTGACTTACTATAAAACGTACTCCGTTATTTCATGGACTAGTATTTTTATCCGTGATGTGCATGGGATGAAATACATTTTTATATTTTAAGTTTTATTATAGAATGTAATGAAAAATATTTGATGGTGTCCATGTCGCTCCATGATATATAAAGAGAGTAAAGATGTAGACATACATCACAACTTGATCTAAATTGGCATCACACCATTTTTTCAATCCTCATCTTTGCATTGAGTGAACACCAACATTATATTTTCAATCCTCACAATGAACTTTTGATTATTGTAAAAGGCTCCATATACTCAATGAGGATATTATGTACACTTGTATTTAATGTTGTCATTTTTATATTTTATTTATTCTCTTAAATCGTTTTCATTTTTGTCCCCGTTTAAATTTCGTTTTGTTATTTTATTATCTTTGGTAAGTGGAAACCGAGAGTTGGGGACTTACCATAATTATTTTGGTGATTTACCATATGGATTTATAGAGTTTTGTAACTTTTAGATTTTAATAGTGGTGACGATGATACGATGATAGTAGGTTGCATGAAAACAATTGGTGAGAGTCTGGGCAACGACAATGACATTAGTTTTTTTAAATTGAATGGCAATAACATTAGTTTATTTTATTAGATCGAGTTATTGAGAGTATTATGATCTAAAAAACAATGTTTTTATTTCTTCATTTATTTGTCCCTCTTTTTGAATATTTACTTAATAATATTCATATTGTATTCCAAATTTTCCAAATGAGAGTTTTTCAAAATTGAAAATACTAAAGACAATATATCAAATGAAAACTTTCAAATTTTTTTACATTCGAAAGGGAGGATGCTTTTAATCATTTTTAAAAACTATCAGATACACTCTCATACACATATGGATTTTATGTAAATGAAATTCTTAAAAAATCCTGTTTAATAATCTTTATTTTAAACTTATTAGTCTTATCAACCAACTTCGTAATAAGCACGTAATTTTTTTATTTTTCACGCTGAATGGTGTCATAATCAAAATAAGTAACTCCAAAAGATAATTTGAGAGCAATTCTTGAAAATAATTAGAGATCAATTTTATAACTTCTATTTCCAACTGCTGATTATCAATCTTATCAGTAAATTTTATTATTATTCAAAGAGAACACACACCAAACATTAGCTAATAGGTTCTTCTTTGCTTATTCTGATTATTACTTAATAATCAATTTTTGATTATTTTTAGAGTTGACCTTGGAATACACACTTTTCAGTGTACACATTGTCTTTGTAGGCTTTTTTTTTGTTTGTACAGACAAAAAATGGCCTACACTACACCTAGTGAGTAAGACCTTGTTTGGTTCAAAGGAGGGGAGGGAAGGGGAGAGTCAAGGAGGGAAGGAAAGAGATCGAAGGAGAAGAAATGATTTTGATAAAAATCTGGGTTTGGTTGGTGGAAATAGGAGGAAAGGTTTAATGAAAATATTTTCTCTATTTACCTTTATTTGATAGATAGCTCACTTAAAAAATAGATACATCTCTAACTATTGTGAATATTATTTCTAAGGTCATGAGTAAAAAATTGTCCCATTTCAATCTTTACAATTTCTTTTTTTGTGAAATCCCATTTAATCCTTTATGTTTGCTTTTTAATTTAAACAACTTCTTTTAATTTGCATTAAATATCCTAACTACGCCCTTCACCACCCACCCACTTTTTACATTTAAGTAGATAACATTAATTCTCTCAAATGCCAATTTTTTATCTCGCGGAGTGGCCTAAAAAAGAGGAGTGGCCTTTTTTAGAGAAACTAGAAAAAAATTATTATTTATAAAAATGGAATATTAGAATAATAAATGTAATATCAAATAAAGACTTAAATGATATGTATGGTAAGTCATATTTTTGGAAAAGATAAAAACATATCACTTTTTTGCCATTTAATTTATATCTATTTTAGTATCATAAAAAAGGCTTTAGATATATACAGTGACGTGAATGAATCCCACAACAAAAAAGTGAACTATTTCATTACCGGTCAGTTTTTGCTCGATACAAATTAAACATGACAAATAAGTACGTAGTATAAAATTTTATACTTCAAAAGAGTTGCAATTGTTTTGTAAAAGTTTAGTCATGACAAAAGAGTGCTCTCTCCTCTCTGAACGCATATCCTTATCATTTGCAAATCTTCGAGGCCTACTAGTTGATTGCATATTTGCATGATTGCGTCGCCGTCGAACCCAGACCTTTTGAGGCAGTATAACTTACTTATCATTAAATCAGTAAGGTATTTTCCTTTTAAAATATTAGTTAAAATCTGCCAGAAATATTGTACGTAAATTAACCGAATAAGAGGTCAAAATGACCGTTAACATCCAAGTCACTGAAAAACAAACCCTGTTTTCGTGGTTTCAAATTGCGGACCGCAACCGCAATTGCGGCCGGAATATTGCGGTTGCCGAGGGCACCGCAACCGCATCAGCCCGCAACACCCTTATGATTTGGAATCACGGCCAAAATCGCAACGTAACCGCGACGAAACCGCAATGTAACCGCGACAGCGCCGCAACATCCCGCAACAGGCCGCAATCGACCACGACGTACGTGCCGCAACAGACCGCAACGCCTCCGCCTGTCCATCATTCTTTCTGGTGCGAACTTTAAAATGATTCACGCCGTAGCAGCCGCAATACGCATCGCAGCGGCCGCATTAGCCGCAACCGCAACGACCGAAATCGCAACCGCGACCGAAATCGCAACCGCGACCGCAATTTAAAACCATGCTTAATTGTATTAATATCGATTGAGGAAAACAGCAAAGTACAAAATCCACACACCCATATTTTATGTGCATGTGAGGAAATCTCCATTGATTGAAAAACGAATTGAACAAACCTTGTAAACATAAGCAATCGAGCAACTGGGCTGGTCGAGAAGCTTAAAATGAAAGGTATGAGATAGGAGTGCAATTTTGTTCACCCCTCAAAGGAGGGTGAACATAACCCCCTCCCCAATTTGCTTGCCATGTGGCAATTAGTAATAATATAGTAATTGTTTTAACTTTTTTTTAATCCAAAATGTTTTTAAAAATATATCAATTTTTTTTTTCAATCTTTCAAATGGTACCAATATTGCATATAAAAAATTTAAAAAAAAATCAGCTAAAAATGAATATGTAGAAAAAACGATTTCTTTTAATTTTTTTATATACAATATTGATATCATTGGAAAGATCTTAAAAAATTATAAAATCTGATATATTTATATAAAAGTTGAACAACAAATAAAAAAGTTATTGTAATTTAAAAAAATAAAATAATAAATTGAATGCCAAATGGCAACAATTGAGCTAAGGGGGTGATGTTCACCCTCATGGAGGGGTGAACAAAATTGCACTCATCAGACACTACAAGAAAAGGCGTTATTTGCGTCAACAAAATGTGGACGCAAAAAGTCTTTTGTCGACACAAATAACTCTTTTGCGTCGACATGTGGACGCTAAATGGTTGACGCAAAAAGCTCGACGCAAAAGACTTATTTGCGTCGACATGTGTGGACGCAAAAAGTTTTAAATCTTTTGCGTCAACATGTGGACGCAAAAGCTTATTGTATGCAAACGAATAAGAATTCAAATTTATTTACCTTTTGCGTCCACATGTCGACGCAAAAAGTAATATAATTTACAAAAAAAAAGTGTAATTACGCTTAATTAAACATAGCAAAATCGAATCCTTTTGAATAAGTACTAACTTTAAATCTAAATAAACATTAACAAGACCAATGCTACATTCTTTGATAACGTGAAGTCATTCATATATTGAACGAAGTAAAACATTTCAACTATAAGATATCTAAAATCTTAAATACAGTGCTTATTGAGATCCTTCTGATTTACTAGTCTCTTCCCATTTCTGGTTAAAGAGATCCTCTTGATTCACTAATCCCTTCCCGATTCGGGTTAAAGCCCTTGATAAAGACTATGATGTGGTGCATGGGGAAGCTATTTGAAACCTGGAATAGTTAGTAATGGAACAAAAATGTGTAAGAATTGGAAAGAAAATAGTGTAGTGAAGACAAAAGTAAATTAAGCACCACAAGACTTCCTGCCCTTAAATAGTATCATAGGCATGCAATAGACTGAGGACCATACACAAAATGACTATTCAATATTTAGCATAGTAGAACAGGGAAAATGATACAAGATTCCTACCCTTTGGAAAGCATTTTTAGCTATGATCTTACTATTGAGAAGAAAAGCTAAAAGGAATCCCCTAATGACTCAAACATATTAATTGTTAATATGGGAATCAACATACCTGTAAGTTATATACTTATATGATTAATATTCCCAACTTATCTGCAAAGTTCCTTCTATGGGGATCAACATACCTATAAGTAAAAAAACATGGTAGTTAATATTTTATATTAAATAGCACTTGACTTCTAAGTTGTTTAATTTCTAGCATCACAAAAAAAATAAAACTTAGTGAAGACAAATTCTGAATCTATATTTTTCATTTAGCAGAGCCTCACTAGCAATACAATGACCACAGAGATTGTGCCATTTCAGATGTAATAAGAAAAATAAGATCTTAGGCGAAATATCTAAATAATAAAGCTGGAAAGAGTTTGAAATCCAAACAGAGGTCCAGATCAACTAAAAATCCTAGAGGTAATCAGGGAAAATACACAATTAGTTCTTATTGGAAAATACACAATTAGTTCCACTATTTGAGATCTCAATCAAGACAAACTAAATATTTAAGGTAAAACCTTATTAATAAATCTGAAAATACGAAGAGAGAGAAATAGTTACCTGGGGTTTTATTCTCCATTAGAGGTGAATAGAGAATGGGAGCTGACAACCAGGTTTTTTATCTTACTGGAGAATTATAAATAGTTCAACTATACATATCTCAAAAAAGTCAAACAAAAAAATAAAATCACAATCAGAGTGAGATTTACCTGGGTAACTGGGTTTGCTTATCTATTAGAGGTGAAAGCCCTTAGAAGTTGCTTGAGTAATTAATCTGCAAGTATAAAGACAGAATGAGAGCTCCTGACCATGAAAGCTTTGAACTGAAAAATAATTGTTGCAAGTAATTGAACTGTTTAAAAATATGAATTGAACTGAAAAATAAGTAATAGAACTGTTTAAAATAAGGAATCTCTTGCACCTTAAGCAATTCAGGAATCTCTTCTCTAAAAGTAAGAAGTCCAATAAGTGTTTCATCAACATTTTCTGGGATGGCTGAGGTAATAGCCTGATAAAAATATGAAAAGGTGACATATTTGACACAGGGAATTCTTAACACAGACTTAATACAATATACTTTATACTACAATCATCTACAGAGCATTCTTAATAGATAAGACAAAATAGAAAGACAAATGTATGGTCACGTACTCATGCACGTTGGGGACAATAGCAAGTCAGAGGTTACCTGCCATTCTCACAATAGTTCTGCACTCCAAAGCTAACAAGAAAAAACAGAGGTTACACAACAGGACATTGAATTAAATATCAAATAGAAGATTTGTATCAAACCGAATGTTTGACCATAACTACAAAAGCAATATCAGTTGATAATTAAAGAATATAGTAACACTGCAAAAATATCTGTTTTGACTGAGAGACACTGAATAACATAGTATCGTATTACCTTGGAAAGCTTCTAATCTTCTTTAGTACCCTAATATTGATATAAGCAATAATAGAGTTATGAAAACCTGAAAAATCATAAGGTAATATGTTCTTTGAGATGAGAGAACAACCGTATTTCAATCAAAACAATTTTACTTACTTCAGAGGCAGTGATTCTTGTTAACACCAAGATGAAATTTACCTGATATTCAACTCATAACATGAGAGCTAAGCGAATTTATCAAACATTAGTCTGTATTCATAAAACAATTTTACTGGCTCTTCTTTGATAAACCTGATGAACATGTATTGTAATTATGTTACAAGATTATGGACACGATTCGGCCCTTAAAATGATGAAAATTCATAAAATGCATACAATCTATAAGCAACATAGTTTAGAGATTAGTAATTTCAGGTATAATCGAAAGGCAAGCAGTGAAAATTGGGATTTGGGAGTTGCCTCTGTGAATTTCAGATTAGGTTTGCAAATTTAGGTTGTAGTTTGTAAACGATTAGGCTAAATACTAAGAACTAACCAGAAGAGAAGCATGGAGCCGTGTAGGGATGGAGGCGGTGCGCCGGCGCCGCGATGAAGATGCGAATCTGGAGGCGGTGCGCCGGTGCCGCCGAGTGCTGCTGGAAATCCGGAACACTGCATCCCTGCGAATCCGTGAGGAAGGCACAGAGAGAAGGCAGCCAGTGGCCGACGGCGTTGCGGGGGCTGGAACTTTGAGGTGGACTAGAGCACGGAGGAGGGAATGTGGAGAGTCTCAAGTCAGACTATTTCCGCTGGAACTTCTGGAAACGAAAAGGGTTAGATTTTTTAGGTGTGTCATATTTTTCGCGTCGGCAGAGTGTAGCCTAATACTATTGGCAGATATTTATGTTTTGTGTTAACGCGTGGACGCAAAAGATATACTATTAGCGTCCACTTATGTTGACGCAAAAATGTTGGACGCAAACAATACTTTTTCTTGTAGTGAGATAGGACCTAAGAATATGCTTTTATTAAGATGACAACAAAATCAGTCATATGCTTTTATTACGACGCTCATAAGAAAACGAAAAACCCAAAAATTTAAAGTTCTCAAATAGTGCATGACAAAAAAATCAAGCATGCCCTCACGGCCTCACTACTCTAGAATGAAGATGCAAATTATCCAAAGCTAAACATCCTTATATGTACTAATTAGAGAAGAGGATTAAGCACGGTCCCAACAAAGGTAACAACCCCAGAAACATCCTCCCGTATGAAGAAGGCGAAGGGATGGTCTGCTACAAAGTCTATTTTCTCTTCTACAACTGTATAACGTGCACATCCGACCAACAACATCTGCCTAGTAGTTGCAGCAGCTTTTGTTCCTTTCTCATTAACATCAACAACACACTTGTGGATAATGTTTGAAACAACGAGTTTCTCCTGCGGGTCAACCACCATTTCATCAAGACCATTGGGGGGAAACCGCACCCCGAGCTTTTCCAAAACACTTAAAACATCCAATTCGAAAGTTATTTTGAATTTCGGTATGAAAAACGCGCCCACTTTAACTTGCTTGTCCGGAGCATGGCGTTCAAGAAAGCCCGGTTCTTTAGTGATGGAGTCCATCAAAGATGACAGACCATCTTTTTCATTAGGCAGGACGAAGTACATGGAGAATTGCCGCCCCATATCCGTACCTCTCTTGTACGGTAGACTGAGGATTTTGAAATCATCGAATGCTTTCACATATTGCCTGTTACCACTACTCATAAAGGGCACTTTGACAGATTTTCCATTCATGAGGAAAAATTTTCTATCTTTTGTACACTTTTCATTAAACTTCTCAGACCAATCTCCTTTAAAGTAAAGTGCATTTGCAAGGATGATGCTTGTTCGGGGAGTAACTGCACTCTTATCGAGTACATTTTTAATAAGGCCACCGGTTTTCTTGTCGAACCACAAATTCACAGCATCAACTGCTTCACTTGCCTAAAAATTAAATACGAAGTTTTCACCCATAACAACAAAGTCACTTTAATTTATAGATAGACACAAGAGAGCATATCCACATCGGCATATATGTAGTATCAATATATTGTTTTAACTATGTTAGATTATATTTACTATTCAGCTCCGCATATAAGATAAAAGATGTTTTTTAATGGAATGAAGTTTTCTAGTCTGATCTATTTAAGTTTGGTCTAGTCAGATAGATGATCGATTTAAGATGTATGTTTATTTTGCTATAGTTTAAGCATGGTTGTAATTTGTTTAATTAAGAACCTGAATTGAAAACATTTTCCGCCTCATATATCTATTGCCTAAGGTTTCTCTATAAAGAAACGAATTTAAAAATGGACACTTTGTCTATTGACATAGTGAATATAATTTTCTATGTATAAAGAAATAAGTATCCTGAGAAAATTAGAACAGCATGTTAAACATATACGGAGTAATATTATTTGTTCATATACATTCATGAACAGACATGATAAAGTTAAGATACACCTTACCGGAAGTTTTTCCTATATATATATATATATAGGAAACATACACAAAAAAGTTCAGTCAAAAATATCACCATTCTCAGGGGTTCTCACGGGTTCTCACGTTAAGCACCATTCTCATTTGATCTTTATTCATATATATATATATATATATATATATATATATATATATATATATATATATATATATATATATATATATATATATATATATATATATATATTTGCAATGAAATATAAGATATATAGATCAAGTATATTGGAAATATAATGGAAATAATATTGGAGTATTTGCCAAGAGGTGTATCTGTTTAACGAAGTAATTTAAAATCAAAACGTTGAGCGTAAAAAAATGCGTTTTAAGCTGATTTTACATCGAATTTTTGTAATTAATTTCTACATACTGTTTTTTCAAACCCTAAAAACTCCAACACTCCGTATTAATCAGTTGTTATATGATGCTATATAAATGACTTCAAAGAGTAGAGCCACGCAAAAAATCCCTAAGGACATGTTTACTTCACCGGTTATTAAACGGTGCTTATTAAGACCCGTGTTAATAAGCGACGCATAAAATAAACAATGTTGTAAGACCGTGTTTACTTCAAACGGTTTAAAACACCGCTTAACATTAAAATGTCCAAAATAACCCTATACATATATATACATACACACAAACATTCATGAACACAAGTATATAATATAATATGTGTACCCATACCCCTAACCCCTTACCCACCCTACCTTACCCCGACCCCACCCACCACCTACCCCTACCCCCTACCCCTACCCTACCTACCTGACCCCACCCTACCTACCCGAACCTACCCCTACCCGACCCCACCCTAACCTATCCCCACCCTACCACAACCCTACCCCCGACCCCATAGGCCCCTACCCCCATAGGCCCTTACCACATCGACCCCACCCCGACCCCACCTTACCCCAACCCCGCCCTACCCCACCCAACCCGGGTAGTGGTAGGGTGGGTTAGGGTAGGTAGGGTGGGGGTTGAGGCGGGGTAGGGTAGGGGTAGGGTAGGGGTAGGGTCGGGTATGTGGGTAAGGGGTGGGGTAGGTAGGGTAAGGGTAGGTGTGTGGTTGGGTAAGTAGGGTAGGGGTGGGATTGGGTAGGTAGGGTAGTGGTAGGGTGGGGTCGGGTAGGGGTAGGACGGGGTAGGGTTGGGTTGGGTCAGGGTAGGGGTAGGGGTAAGGTGGGGTCGGGTAGGGGTAGGGTAGGTGGGGTAAGGGTAGGGGTGGGGTCGGGGTAAGGGTAGTGTAGGTGGGGTAAGGGTAGGGTGGGGGTCAGTTAGGTAGGGTAGGGGGTGTCTGGTAATGGGGTAGGGTAGGGGTAAGGTGGGGGGTACGTGTAGGGTGGGGGTCGGACAAGTAAGGTAGGGGTAGGGTGGGGTCGGGGTAGTGGTAGGGGGGGTCGGTTAGGTAGGGGTAGGGGTGGGGTCGGGGTGGGGTAGGGTAGGTGGGTAGGGGTGGGGTAGGGTAGGTGGGGTAGGGGTCGGGGTGAGGTGGGGTCGGGGGTAGGGTCAGGGTAGGTGGGGTAAGGGTAGGGTGGGGTCGGGGTAGGGTGGGGTTGGGGTCGAGGTGGGGCAGGGATAACAATAGGTTAAGGGCAAGGGGTAAATTCGGAAACTGAAAAAGAAAAGTGTCGTTTAATTAATACATGGGGGGTGGTATGCTTAATAAGCGGCACTTTAAGCACCTCTTTCGGTTAGTAAGCGGCTTTTTAAGCAGTGTGCGTGTTTACTGCACCTGTCTTACTATCCTAACTGTGACTTTAGCAGTGAAGTAAACACCTCCTAAATCATGAAATACTCAGCATATAATGAAAATCACAAACCTTGAAACGAAAGTCAACGGATTGAGAAACACCATCATAAGACTTTTCCAAGAGATCTTTATAGCAGGGCTTCAATGAAAGAGTTTGCTCCACCCAAACGCTGTTAGCCGCCGACAGACTGGGGCCGCCGAGATGGCTGGCGTCAGCAAGGATATTGGTGAGGATGTGGAAGGCAAAAGCATCGAAATCAGCGGTGGAATCGGACTTGAGGAAGGAGAGAAGGCTGCGGCGTGTTTGGCCCGTATAGCCGGCGGCGGCCATGCCCAACAAGATATTAATGGACAGGGGAGAGAAAACTAGGTTGGAATCTGCTTTGACCAGGTCAGAGAAGACGTGCTTTGCAAACAGTAAGGAGGAGTCCGTCTGGGCGGCGATGAACTCATCAGAGACGGCGTCCATGTCAATTTTCCGTTTCCGGTTGGAACGCCGCAAGGCCATTATCTATGGACCAAGCTGGAATAATAGCTAGTTAATTGACGCCGCAGTATACAGCCCATGGAGGCTTAACATGTTCCTATATATAGGACGGAGTTCTACATTCCACACGCAACCTAGATATAGTTACTTATTCTGAAATTTAATTTTAATAATTAGGGTTTAATTACGGGAGTGTATGATTTAATTATGAGTAAAGGTACAAATATATCCCTATAGCATGGACGTGAGAAAAATAATCATTATTTGTTCTATTTTTCAAAACAAATATAACTCGAAAATATATGTTGAAAAAGAAATTATCTTCAATGGGAGTTAAACATATGGAAAGTGCAATAATAGGAGTTGTTTAGTTACTTTCCCCAAATAGAAGCTCCTCTCTCTAGCCAATAACAATAATAACCCTCACCAAAAATAACAATTATTAATAGTACAGTCAATGATATATAGTCAACAATTCTAATTTAACCAATGACAACAAAAGCAATCAGTATTGCACATGAGACTAAATACATTAAGTTCATTTTCACAAAACAAGTTTTATTCCATCATATAAATTTTATAAACATAAAATAACTCAAATAACTTGTAGTTGATTGCATATATTTTACTTTTTCATCTTCATCATATTTGTAACTATTAGATTTGTTGTATATATACAACTAGCAAGTAGAATGTAATGATGTTTTTATAAAAAAAAATATGTGAACTCAATGTATTTTCAACTTTTGAAAGGTTTGAAGTGGACGTCTTTTCTTGTTACTATGATGTTGAACAACTTTCATTGCTAGCACGTACGTACATAAAAACAATTTTTATGTTTCACTTATTAAATGAAAATGAAATCTTCTTTTATTCCCACTACAATAAAATTGGTTTGTTGAGAAAATAGCCCCTAAAGGAGGTTGCAATAAGAAGGTTATGCAGCAGGTTTTGATGTTTTGTTTGAATGGGTTAGGCAAAAATAAGCTCTGCAGTCGTGAGAAAACAGAGGCAGGAAAGGAGAAAATCATCTGATACCATGTAAGAAAAGGAATGAATGGAAAGGAATAATTTTATTAACATGTTAATTAGTATTTATACAAGTATGAATCTATAACGGTAACATTATTCTAGGAAAGAAATCAACAATGAATGAAAGCTTTACAAGGTATAAACTAAAATAGGAGAAATACACAATAATAGCTATAATAATTATTGTGCTCATCAGGGCCTAAGGCTTAAAGTGCCCTATTCCTTATTCTAGGCTACTTGTCACATAATACTCCGTAAATAATACCATAAAAGCTATCATCTAATCTATTTATTAACAAAACTTGAGACAAACTTGATTCGCAATAAATATTCCCATTACACACTTATATTTTATGTGCATGTGAGGAAAATTCCATTGATAGAAAAACCAAGGTTTTAAATTGCGGTTGCGGTCGCGGTTGTTGCGGTTGCGGTCGTTGCGGCCGCTGCGATGCGTATTGCGGCCGCTGTGATGCGTATTGCGACCGCTGCGGCGTGAATTATTTTCAAATTCGCGCCAGAAAGAAAAATGGACAGACGGAGGCATTGCGGTCTATTGCGGCACGCCGCGGTCGATTGCGGCCTGTTGCGGCGCCGTCGCAGTTACGTTGCGGTTTCGTCGCGGTTATGTTGCGGTTTTGGCCGTGATTCCAAATCTAAAGCGTGTTGCGGGCTGATGCGGTTGCGGTGCCCTTGGCAACCGCAATATTGCGGCCGCAATTGCGGTTGCGGACCACAATTTGAAACCATGAGAAAAACTAACAAACCATGTAAACTTAAGCAAGCAATCGAGCAACTAGGCTGCTTTAGAAGCTTAAACTGAAAGTTAAGGGATATGTCCTAAGTATATGCTTTTATTAATACCACAACAAAATCAGTCATATGCATTATGGTAAGAATATGTTTTTATTACGACGCTGATATGAAAAAGAAAAACCCACAAAGTTAAAGATCTAAAAAATTCATCACTAATAATTTAAGCATGCCCTCACTACTATAGAATGAAGAAGCAAATTATCCTAAGCTAAACATCCTTATATGTATTAGAGAAGAGGATTAAGCACGGTGCCAACAAAGGTAACAACCCCGGAAACATCCTCCCGTATGAAGAAGGCAAAGGGGTGGTCCGCTACAAAGTCTATTTTCTCTTCCGGAGAGTATCCAGGATACGTGATCATCGTAGTAATTGCAGCACATTCTGTTCCTTTCTCATTGACATCAACAACACACTTTTGGATAATGTTTGAAACAACGGGGCTCTCCTCCGGGTCAACCACCATTTCGTCAAAACCATCGTGGGTAAACAGCACCCCGAGCTTCTCCAAAACACTTAAAACATCAAAGCCGAAAGTTATTTTGAATTTCGGTATGTGAAACGGGGCCACTCTAACTCGCTTGTCCGGAGCATGACGCTCAAGAAAGCCCGGTTCTATAGTGATGGTTTCCATCAAAGATGAGAGGCCATCATTTGCATTAGGCAAGACGAAGTACATGGAGAATTGCCGCGCCATATCTCTACCTCTCTTGTACGGTAGACTCAGGATTTTGAAATCATCGTATGCTTTCACACACTGCTTCATACCGCTATTCATAAAGGGCACTTTGACAGATGTTCCATTCATGAGGTAAAAATCTCTATCATGTGTATACTTTTCGTCAAACCCCTCATCCCAATTCCCCTTAAAGTAAAGCGCATTTGTAAGGATGATGCTTGTGAGAGGAGAAACTTTACGCTTATCAAGTACATTTCTTATCATGCCACCGGTTTTCTTCTCAATCCACAAATTCACACCATCAACTGCTTCACTTGTCTACAAATTAATTAAGTAGAAAGTAATCAACCACCACAGCAATGTTACTTTAATTTGGAGATACACATAAGTGAGCATATACTCACATTGGTAAGAATTTATTGTTCTTGCCAATGTGATATATGGAATTCAATTAAGGAAGTTAGACGCTATATACATTTGTTTTTCATTTTCAATGAGAACATGCATTCTCTAAATAGGACTGAAATAAGAATAATATTCATAAAAAGGACTAGTGTACCATTATTTATTTTTTAAAATAGGACTTAGCTTATTTAATCCTCTTTTAATTTGGGAACTTTTAATCGAACTCATTTTTTTAATATGACCAAGTTAGTCCAATTTGGCGAAGAAAACATCCTTAGTCTTATTTTAGAATTTCATCTATGTTTTGATCCTATATTGAATTTCTGTTTTGTGACCAACTAAATTATTCCAAAATTTAAAGTGATGTCTATTTTCATTAAAATTAAAAATCAAATAACGGTTAAATTTCATACTTAATGAGTTGATGTTAACAAACAAATACGTGGTATGGTAGTATATTTATTGTTCTATTTTGGGAAAACTGTCAAATAGGTCTTCGATGAAATTTTTTGATGAATTTTTTTGAGCATCTTATTCATCAAGCCTAGTTTACTCATACCAAATTTCAGCTAAAAATTTAATCGAGAGCACATTCAAATTTATTCGAGAACGCAAAAATGCGCAGTTATCTTCAAAAATTAATTTGAATGTGTTCCCGATTGAATTTTTAGCTGAAATTTGGTATGAGTAAACTAGACTTGGTGAATAAGATGCTAAAAATAATTCATCAAAAAACTCCACCGGGAATTGCCCCAAATCGCGACGGCCGGACAGAACCTCCTATAGAAGGACTTAATTGACCTTTTTATGAAAGTTCGAGGACCTATTTGACAGTTTTCCCTTCTATTTTTAACATATAAATGGAATTTGCCCAATAAAAAGCTTGTCTAAATTGCAGTATGAGCCCGTATGGTAACACGAAAATTGTTTAGTCCTCTGAGAATTGTTCAAGAGAAACTTTATTCCTCAACTTTAAAATTTCTCACATTTAATCCTATGAGTATTATCAAACTAACACTTGTAGTCGTTTCACTATAATTTTGTCACAATAAATGGAGGATTAAAAGTGTGACAATTATAATAGTTGAAAGACCTAAAGTGTCATGAAAGTCGAATTAGTAAATATGAAAAATTTCAAGTACTAAAATTGTTTGCAATTTCGTTTATGTTTTACCTTTACTTTGAGTAGTTTTTTTATATTATCTACATGCTACGGTTGTTAAATTTTTTAACAAACTTCAAAAAATAAGTAACGTAAGATGTGCATGTAAAGTTCGGATATTTTGAATATTACTCCGTATTAGATAGAGCGAAATGAAGCAATTGAATAACTAAATGAGTATTTGCATTTGCATATAAAGTGTTTGTTGTCTTTTGATTAAAAAAAATGAAACTAAGTGTTTTCAAACATATGTTTCTATCATTTTTCATCAAACAAAATAAAAAATTTAATAATGTGCTTTGACTTGTTGTTGAACATAATATTTTCTTTTGAACATTATCATCTTTTACAATTTGATTAGCAACCTGTTATGATATTTGGTGCGAGTAAAGATTTTTTTTTCAAAATCTAAAAGTAAATGCAAAGTCGATCATTGACTACATTCACATATCACATACATAGAGAGAAAAAGCACACACCTTGGTACGAAAGTCAACTGATTGACAAACAGCATCATAAGATTTTTCCAAAAGATCTTTATAAGAGGGCTTAAGAGAGAGAGTTTGCTCCATCCAAACGCCGTTAGCCGCCGACAGCCTGGGACCGCCGAGATGGCTGGCGTCAGCAAGGATATTGGTGAGGACGTGGAAGGCAAAAGCATCGAAATCAGCGGTGGAATCCGACTTGAGGAAGGAGAGAAGGCTGCGGCGTGTTTCGCCGGTTGAGCCGGCGGCGGCCATACCCAACAGGATGTTGATGGAGAGGGGGGAGAAAACGAAGTTGGAATCTGCTTTGACCAGGTCAAAGAAGATGTGCTTCGCAAACAGTAAGGAGGAGTCCGTCTGGGCGGCGATGAACTCATCAGAGACGGCGTCCATGTCGAATTTCCGTTTCCGGTTGGAAGGCAAGGCCATTTTCTATGGACGAAGCTGAAACAGTAGGGCGTGAGTTGTAACCAGTGTTGCGAAACAGGGTGGACCAACTGTTTTAGCCTTTTCAAACTTCCCTGGGTTTCGAATGGATGAGGAAGGCAGATGATTAATATATAGAGTTTTTTAAAGTGGCAATCCGTCTATTCCACCGGTGTGGGAAAGGTAAAACATACTTCCTCCCTTCCTTTTTAATTGCAACAGTCCACTTTTCACGCTTGCCAACGCACAAGTTTGACCTTTAATATCTTTCATTCCTTATTAGTAAAAAAATTTAAAAAATCAAGTTTTGAAAATTTATTATGAGAGGAATTTAAAAATATTTTTTAAAAATTTAATTCGTAATACATTAATTAATAAAATGTAGTCAAAGTAGAATCTGTGAATAGTGAAAAAAGTCCTACGTTGCAATTAAAAGAGAACGGAGGTAGTACTTCGTAATTCGTATGATAGTAACTACACGTCTACACATAAGGTATTACCGCACTCAAAAACTTTGAACACAATTATAATCACTAATAGTTACGAAGTAATATTTTTGTCCATCGCATTTAAAAAAAAAATATTCATTGAATTTTTTTCTTGAAATTTTTGATTGAGTTTTTTCTAATATATTACGGTAACAAAATTTATGGATGAATGTATCATCAAAGTGATTGTAAATGTATTTCTATATTCACTGCAATGAAAAGTTTGATTATAATATATTTTTGAGACAATTTTTTCTAACCTATATAATATCTCGTAAATGCCAAGACCAACATCCTTAAATTGGGATGAGATTCGAACCTGTGACCTCTTTCGGAGTGTCACAGTGATGCCATCAAACCACAGGGTACTTGACAGCTTGAATATAATATTAATCAATAAATGTTATTAAGTCACATTTTTATGTAATGTCCTTACGTTGGTTATATATTAAGATTATTTATTTTTACAAGTATTAATAGTTTATCATTAAACTACTTTTTAAGTTCTAGTTTTTGTGTAATTAGTAAATTTATACTCTATATTTGTTACATTGATGAAGAATCCACAAATCTTTTTTTGTTGATGAAAATGAGAAAAGTATGATTCATTAGAATAACATTATTTAATATTAAATTGAATATTTCAAATAGCTTTAGAAAAACTAAAACAAATGATAAAAAATCAAAATGCCTTTTCATGCCTAAACCCTACTTAAGCCCGCTTAGGCGCCAACGGCTCTAAGGCTTGGTTGTGCCGCCTCGGCACGCCTTACGTCTTTTAGAACATTGGTTATAACTAGCTAGTTAATGGCGCAATATATAGGCTCGGGTCTAGGGAGTCTTAACATGTTCCTATATATAGTATCTACATTCTATATAGTTACTTATTTTGATATCTCAATTAGGGTTTAACAAAGTCAACGATTTATTTATTTGTATATTTTTATAAAACTAAAATCCATATTAATGAATTGTACTGAACCAAATAAAAAAGGAGACATCAAACACATTGTGCTTTCATAACATCACTTTAACACTCTCAAGAAAGTGGCCACGTGTTTAAAACACAACTCAATCAAAGATGTTAATATTTAAAAGTAAGTAAATGAGTCGTATTTTAGGATAAAAGAAGGAGGTTTCCCTAATATTACTAATTTAAAGTCAATTTCCAAAAATGTAATCACTTTTAAATATTGACTAAAATGTGACTAATAAGGTCATATATTTGAAAATAGCATGATGTCACTGTAAAATTTTCACGTCACTACAAAAATTTTATTTTACTATGATTTGTCACTATTAAATTTTCATGTCAATTATGGATGTTGCTGTTGTCGAGAAACATGCCATTGTTGTCGGGAAACATGTAACTGTTGTTAGGTAACATGTCACTGCGTCGTCGGGAAACAAGTCATTGTCGCTGAAAAACATGTCACTATGATCGTTTCTGTTCAGTAAAACTGCCACCATAGACACCACGGCTCTTCAGCTACCTTCCCAACCCCCACACACCCGGCAACCGCTGTCGTCAGCAGACGCTGCCCTAACAGTGACCACACCAGTCCCTCCCCAGCCCACAACCCTTGCACAATCGTGGCCCAAACCCACACCCTGCCCCAGCTTCGCACTGCAATTGTTGCATCGAATCGCACCATCACGCCACCGCCACCGCACCTCCTCTTGTAAGTCAGCCAAGCGCCACCGTTGATCCCCACACTGTGAGACCATCACAACATGCCCGTCACGGTCAGCCCACCACCGCACCCATAACTCTAGCCGTCAGCCCAACACTGGAGCTAGTCACCGCTGACCTCCATCACCACCACATCCATTAGCCGCCTCCTTCCGCCACATGTAACCTTAGCTCCATCAAGCACGACGTATATAGCGGCGGCACTCCTTGATGACTGGGCCAACATCAGCAGCATCCATCAAGGACAAATCTACATTGCTGGTTGATTTTGGTTATAGTGACCGGAAGGCCAAGGTAGTAGCATGAAGAACCAGCGACCTATAGGCAGAGAAGCCGCTGCACCAGAACCCTAGATCCCACACATCTAACCGCTAGAGTTTCACATCTTCGGTGACCATTAAGCCGCCTCCATCACCCTATTTGCCGCTTGAGTTCACCGCTCGCATTCGCCAACTTCATCGCTCCGATTCACCGGTTCTACCATCCCTAATACCCAAATAGAAAGAGAAGGAAAAGCAGAGTGATGGGATGGCGCGGTGATGACAATGAGAAGAGGTGGTTGGCGACTATGGTTGTTTATTGCGCTTGTGTAACACCCGTACTTTTTATATACTTTTATGTATTTAATTAATCAATAGGATCATTTTTTGACTTATTGTTTGAGTGATGTACATGTGAAGAATAAGGATATTATGTGATTATGAACTTTGTGATAATTGTATTTGAACTTACATGCTTGTATTGTGTTTGAACGTGACAGGCGACAGTATCCGATGAGCAACGAAGCTACACCATAATAATCATTTTTATTCCGGATGAAATGGTATATTAAGTTAGTTATCATGTTAGATAGTATTCAGGTGTTTGAAATGTAGTTTAAAATGTCATCGGGGGTCTAGGATGTGAATGACAACAATCGGGGTCGGTTTAGGGCGAAAAATGACATTTGCGGCACCCATTGGGCCCCATCAGTGGCACCGGCGCACCGGTTGTGCGCCGGTGGCAGCACAACCGGCACCGGTAAAGTCCAAACCGGTCCCGGTTCGGTCGGTTTTGGCAGGTCGGTCAAAAGTCGTATTTAAGCGCAGAAAATCCCTTTTCAACCCAAAATCGATCCTTGCTCACTACAAACCAATCCAAAACCCTTCCCAAGGTGATTCACGCTCAAATTAAACATATTTATTCTTGTTTTTGGATTAATTATACTAGGATTGAGTGATTTTGGATTTATTTCTTAAAAAGAAATGGATTTTCTTGATAATAAGGTTAGTGTGGAGTTGTTGTTAATCCTTGATTGAACAACTTCAATTAGTTCTTGAATATTTAGTTACCCCAAAGTTTTGCCCAATTTAATGAAAGAATTTGGGAAGTATTTTAATGATTAATTAGTTGTTGATTCTAAATAGATACATGGAGTCCTTGATATTATGAGAATGAGTTAATTGATGATGAGTCTTGATTCATGAAATTCAATCCGTTTTTAATTATCTAGCCACCCCAAACCTATGCCCGATTTGATGTAGGAAATTGGGAGTTTTCTCACTGGCAGGGGTTGATTCGGGAACTTCCCCTCATTCTTAAGTCTAAGGATTTTTCTATAGACATGAATTTATGTTTGATCAAGTATAAAATTTTGTATTTATAATTATAGTTGCTCACCGAAAAATCGTTACACGTGGACGCCATACATGCACACACAAAGGCAGATACTCTGCGTGAACCAGGTAAGTCACCACCACCTATACATGATAGTTCTAAATAAAGTATGGAAGATCAGATTAGCTAATTGTGAATATAATATATTTGCTTTGGTACTTGAAATTGTATGGTATGAGATATGTGAATTCCAAGTTATATGTACGTATTGACAGGTGGTGTTAATTGTGAAGTTATGGAATATTGTGAATTTAATGTATGAGCGTGATTACTTGAAATTGTATGGCATGAGGTATGTGAATTTCAAGTTCTATGTTTGATTTAGGATTGAGTTTGTATGGACCAACAATGAAAGGAAGTTATGATGATAATGAAAGTAATGAAAGATAAGTAATTTTACAAGGGAGTCGTGCCCCCAAGTAACTACCTGAGCTGAGCGTAGCGGGACATCCTTCCGTGGGGAGTCCCGAGGTTGCTTCTGATGTGCTGCAGACTAGCTACCCAAAGTCATCAGCCCTAGGCAAGGACACAAGTTACGGGTCCATAAAGTCAAGGAATAAGATAAGAATAAAGAATGATGAATAAGGAAATCTCTTGGTGTTTGATACATGAATGCTTATGTGTTGTTGTCATGTGTGATCATAGTATATGTGTGGTGTATTCAGCATGTGTATCTATTTATGATTAGCTAAGATTCCCTAAATGTTTTTAGTTGATAAATGGTGACTTACTAAGCTTTATTGCTTACGAGAATTCTATTTTATCATGTTCTCATGTATAGGCCGGTAACAAGGATTTGGTTGGGTTAACGGAGAAGATCTGGTTGTCAGTTTTATTTTGTTTTAGTATGTTGGAACTTCAAAGGGCTGTTAAATGTTTTAAAATCCTGATCATGTGTAAGATTTTAAAGGTGTTTTCTTTTGGATGTCTTTCGTCATGGTTTTAAAAGAAATAGAGTCTCAGCTCGAGGCTTTGTATCTTTATTTCCGCTTGGTTTATCGATCCTCTTTTATTTTTGAGTATCGTAATGGTCGTTTGGGGACGGTCGTTACAATTTGGTATCAGAGCCCAGAACCTTCCATAACTCCATCCATCGCCACGCACCGCTCGACATCTCTCAGGCAAGGGAGTAGTTATAGGCATAGAAGAATAAACATTACTTCATATAGTGAAGTAACTACAAATGTTGAATATATATGTGTGATGTGTATTCATTATATTATGGAGCTGTCTCATGAAGTGTTTTAAAGCCTGCGGGTAGGCTAGGCACCAGGCACAGATCTAGTAAGCGTGTTAACGATTAATGGGTGTTACTATGTTAGCCGGAATCATAATGGAATTGAGATGAGATCTAAGCCTTTGAGGTCAAGTCTATTGAAGTCAATTTGCTAAATTTCCGTAGCGAAAAGTGCTTAATAACACTTACATTAGCCAAATAAGTTGTTAATGAAATTTTTCGATCATTCTTTTAGATTGATGAGCTTAATAGACCAGAACTAAATATTAAACAAATACTAAACTTGGCTTCCAATGAAAGTTTAGCATTCAGGCACATAATTGATTGTTATAGCCTAATATGGTAAAATTTCCATGTCATGATATTAAAGGAGGAAATAGCAAACCTTATGTAGTTGTTAAACTGATATGATATTCCCCATCGCATAATATGGAAGAATGAAATAATAAACCTTATGGGATTGCTTAACTAGTTTTAACTAAGCGGGTAAATTCGGAGCTAGTGGGTTGGTTTTAAAAGAAAGGTCATGAACTTTCTTTTAAAAGATGTCTTTGGGGTTAAGAGACTCCTGGCTAGAGCTCTATAAATACCCATCTTGTCTTCACTTTTGATACAACCGAAATTCCAAAAACAGTTCCTTCATATTCTCTCTTCCATCGTTGCATCTTTGAGTTCGCCAGAATCCCTTTGGGAGCGAAGAACCGTTCTATCCTGGGAGACGCTTGCTACGTGTGTCGGGCAAAAACGTCCTAAGGAGACAACACTTTTGTTGGGTTCGGTTGATACAAGTATTTTTCTTTTACTTCTATTTATCTAATTAATGCATGCAGATTTATACGGATTTTGGATAACAGTATCAAAACACTCGTTTTTTTGTGGAAACCCTTGAAGCACCCCTTAAAATAATTAAGTGTTTTCTAACATATGTTCTTATTTAAATTATAATATATAACTTTAAAAGTAAAACTTGAATGTTTTTTTTTGCTACCAATTTTTTCATCAAACAAAAAAATTAATTGAATTTTCTTTTTCAATATAATTTTTTCTTTTGAACATCATCGACTTTTATAATTTGATCAACCTGGGACTCCATTCGTTATTTAATAACCTTCTCTGATTCCATTTTGATATGTGTTTTATTAATTGTCCTTCTTTTCATTATCTGTTTTCCCTTTTGTTTGGTGATTGAGTTTTGATTGTGTTTTGTCTCTGATTTAGAGGGCGAGAAGATGGCGTCCAGGCTTGAGCGCTGGCTGCGAAGGCAGATTCAACCCAGGTCCCCTGGTTCCTACTTGGAGGGTTCAGACTCGGAGTGCTATAGAGGCTGCTCCTGGGAAGTCTGGTAGGAGTACACATGGGGATGGCGTTGCGACTCTTGCAACACCGACTGCAGACCTCCGGTCTCCTCTGACGAGGGGCCCCGACAAGTGGCTGCCATCCCATCCTATCTTTGTGCCCAAAGGGAAGAAGTCCGGAGCTGCGAAGAATCCTGCTGAAGCTATTGTTGAAGTTGAGTCTAAAGCAGAGAGTACATCTCTTGAAGGTGGTAGTTAGGCAAAGGAATACTTCTCTTTTTATGCAACTAATATAGTAACAAAAGGGGCGTTTAAGATTGTTGTTTGAATTTAAAGTATATTTAAACACTAAGTTTAACGACTTATGTGGTTTAATTAATAAAGATGAGAACTTTTGGTTTTGGTTTCGTTCACCTAATGAATGTTCGTCAATCAGATTATATCTTTAACTATCTTCCTCTCAAATACTCAATCGAGAAGTATCTCCAATTCATCGAGGGTAGTTATTAATAACCAGACACATTCATTAATAAAGCTTACTACCGAGTCAATGTAGAACATGCATTGTATATTAACCCGATAGTAGCAATAAACTTAAGATGAAAATGATTGAGATTGATAACCTCAACACAAGTAGTTTATTGGTTTAATCAATAATTAATTTCCCTTAGATTATTAACCATGAGATACATGCATTAATAATCCAAGTTTACTACCGTGAAAGGTCCGAACGATTAACCAACGTATTCGTCAGCCGATTATAGTAATAATTAATATATGAAAAAAGTATTTGATCCTGTAAGTAATGCGGAACATATTAATATGAAATATGAATATGAATTAATTAATAATCAAGGAAGAAGATTAAAGAAAATAACTCAAAACTTATAATTCTTTTTTTCTTTTTTTATCTCACAACTTACAATTCATTAACATTCAAAGTAGCAAAACCAAGATGGAAGAGTCAGTCATTTGGAGACTAAAAATAATAAAAATTAAATATAAAGAGAGTACTTAACAAAGCTAAGCTTAGAAGTGTATAGGAAGTGGTGAAAATTGGAAAATTGGAGTGCGTAGGGATGTGTACCCGATCGGGTGGTACCCAATAGGGTATTTTAGGCAGTTTCCCGGAAAGTCACTAATTATCAGCCCATTCCGTAATGAATCATCTCTCCCTCGTGCCCCCGCCTAATACTCCCAACTGTGCCCAACCCCCATAAACCCATTTATACACTATTTATTACTACTTCCATCCCCCTAAGATTAGGATAAAAGGGTGCAATGCAGTTGTTAAGAAAAATGAAATTGTACTGAATAAATAAAGTGTGAATAAAGTAACAACAATTGTAGCCATCTACAATTTAGTGGGATGGACGGAAAAAGCAAAATGAGACAAATGGAATAGAGAGAGGGGGAGTAATTATGTCTACATAAAATACATAATTAGTAAATATAAAATAAAATTAGCACCACATGAATTTTGAGACAAGTTCTTGATTGTATCCTATAGTACAATTAAATCATTACTTCTCTTTTGAAGAAAAAGTATTACTTTTTTAAAAGACTAGCTAGACACATGTAAACTTTAATTTAGAATCCACAACATTTCAAGAGTTTACTTGCCAAAACATTTAAGCTATAAAAAATTTTGAAATTTTGTTTATAAAATTATATCAATTTTTGACCTGAAAGATACATTCACTATCAACAAGGGAACAGAAAGATAAAGTGTGTTAATGTAGCTTAGGGTCGAATGATCAAAATAGCAATCTAAGACCTAAAATTCCATGATTTTTAATGTCTTTTTATTTTAAAATTTTATATTATTTAATCTAATTAAACTACTAAACTCTTGAGTAGAAAAAATTTATCAAAATAAACAATGGACTCGATGAGAAATTAAATAGCAACATATATGCAAGCAGTAACCATAAAAGAGTTTGGAGTGGGCATGCAAAACAATTACCAATCGGACATGCATTATGCTAAAACGATATGCTTTTATTATGACATTCAAAGGAAAAAAGAAACCCCCAAGCAACTACTTTAAGGGAAAATTACTTTAATTTAGATTGCTATATATTTAGTCCTATTTAGGACAATAACAAATTTTAGTACGCCGTTCAAGGGAAAAACAAAACCCCCAAGAACTAGTTGAAGATCTCCGAAATGCATCACTAGAATTAAAATTAAGCACGTGTTTGCTATTCGAAAATGAATATGCAGATTATTAAGTAGTAGAAATATAAACTAAACATCATATCCAGCTCCATGCCACCCACCATCTTAGAGAAGGGGGTTAAGCACGGTGCCAACAAAGACAACAAGCCCGGAGACATCCTCCCGGATGAAGAAGGCAAAGGGATGGTCCGCTACAAAGTCTATTTTCTCTTCCTCAACCATAGAACGTGCACATCCAAGTTTGCACCCCATCAGACTAGCTGCACCAGCTTTGGTTCCTTTCTCATTAACATCAATAACACACTTGTGGATAATCTTTGAAACAATGAGGCTCTCCTCTGCATCGACCACCATTTCGTCAAGATCGCCGCTGGAAAATTGCACGCCGAGCTTCTCCAAAACCCTTAAAACATCAAAGCCGAAAGTTATTTTGAATTTCGGTATGCGAAACATGCCCACTCTAACTCGCTTGTTTGGAGCGTGGCGCTCAAGAAAGCCGGAATCTTTAGTGATGGTGTCCATTAAAGCCGGAAGACCATCATTTTCATTAGGCAGGACGAAGCACATGGAGAATTGCCGCCTCATATCCCTACCTTTCTGGTACGGTAGACTCAGGATTTTGAAATCGTCAACTGCTTTTACATACTGCCTTTCCCGGCTACTCATAAAGGGCACTTTGACACATGTTTTGTTCATGAGGTAAAAATCTTCATCTTTTGTATTATTTTTGTTAAACTTCTGAACCCACTCTCCTTTAAAGGTAAGCGCATTTGTAAAGATAATGCTTGTTTCACGAGTAACTGCACTCTTATCAAGTAACTTTTCTATAAGGCCATCGGTTTTCTTCTCGATCCACAAATTTACAGCATCAAGTGTTTCACTTGTCTACAAATATAAAGTATTCACCCATAACAACAATGCCATATCAGAAACTACTCCAAATAAGAGTAAAACTATGGCAAAAAAAAATGACATCTTAAGTTTTTATTTCAAAATAGGACCATATTACTCCTATTTGAAAATATACGTATCTTTTCATTCCATCATAACCCCTCCTTTAAAAGACAGACAAAAGTCATACTACATCCGTCCCGTTGGAGGGTTCCCATAGCAAAACAACACGGCTATATAGGTAATAATTAAATAAAATACTTTGAGTATATTTATAGAAATAATTTTAATAGGTATATATTCTATTAGTTAGTATTGATAACTGTGATGTTATAAATGTATTATTTTAAATATTTAATGATCAATTTCAATTCTGATTGTTAATTGTTTCCTAAAATGGAAATGAGAACCTTCTAATGGGACGCCCAAAAAAGGAAAGTGAGAATCTTCTAATGGGACGGAGGGAGTAATTAATTTTTTTAATTAATAATAAATTTGTAAAAATACTAGTAATAAAAATCAAAGAAAAATAATATAAAAAACTAAAAAAATTATAAAATAATAAATAAATAAATAAATAAATAATAAAATAAAAGGTTTAATAAAAAGTGGTAAAATTTATTAAAATATATATGGATGCCTTTCCTACCACCTGTACTGTCTTCCTGCACCACCATCTCAGACCAATGTAAAAAATGTTTCAAAAAAACATGCCATTTCTTCTCAAAATGCCAAAAATGACATATTACTCTTTGAAAATGCCAAAATTTTCATTGAATATGCCATAAATATCGCTTTCCTAATGCATGTGGCATATTTCCCCTGGTGACCCGAGGTGGTTTGTTTTTTGCATTTTTAATTTTTAATTTTTTTAATCTTCTCTTAAAAAATTAAAATCCTTAATGTTTTTAAATTTATATTAATTTTTTAGTATTATTTACGAATTTTTATTTTTTCATTATTTTATTATGAATTAAAATATTTCAATAGCTACAAAGGTATATTTGTCCAATACGCACATAAATAGTCCTATGAAAGATAGTTTAATTTTTGTCCTAAAAGTGCAAACTGACCGGCTTTTCATCCTATATGCATAATTAACTTATGTCAATTATGAAACATGCATAAAACAAACATATTTACACTAGCACAAAAAGTGTCTATTGTAACATCAATTTTGTAGCACCATAGAAATTGCTACAAAATAAAATATACTGTAACATTATGTCATTATTGTTCCAAAAAATGCTACACTAAAATGATACTACGTATGTTGCTACAATACATCTATTGTAACACCAGTCGGATGCAGTACACTAATTAAAAATGTTACATTTGATATATTGTGACATTTTAAAACCTATTGCAACAATTTTCTTATGCTACAAAAACTGTACTTTGTTATAGGGAATTACATTGAAAAAAACTTTTACTACTTCTGTCCCAAAATGTTTTGTAAAGTCAACAATTTTTTTGTCAACAAATATTAAAGTTAAACCCTCCCTATTGATAATTAATTCAATTTTAGTGATTAAAATTTACATAGTCAGAAACTACATTAAAATCTCCATAAAGTTGCAAAATCCCAAATAAAATTTATTTAAAAATTTATATCCTAATTAAGTGTGTAAGATGAATATATTTGACTCAAAAAAGTCAACTTTGCAACTCAATTGGAGATGTAGGGACTATTTTTAACTACATGGTTATATTTGGATAAAACGCATAAATGATATCTTAACTATTAGTATTATTGCATTTTGGTATATTAACTTTTAAATAAAACAAATCAGCACCATAACTATAAGTAAATGTTTCAACTATGTTACTAACCGTACTAGCCTATTCAAATTTCCAGCCAAAAATCCTGCGTGGAGACAAAAATGCCATGCCTAGTCCATCCTAATGTGATGGCATAGACATAAGATGAAACTTACACATAGATTCGAGCCATCACGTAGGATTTGTTGGTCGAAAAATTGAATAATATTGTCATTTGAAACACTTATGTATAAATGTATAATTGTGGTACTAATTTGAATAAAAGTACACAAACACAAGAATACAAATAGTTAAGGATCTATTTATATATGGAAAAAGGGTCAAGTAGGCCTTCTACTATTTCCAATCCATCATTTAACTCCCTTTACTAAATAATTGTTAACATTTGAAGAGATATAGATAAATGTTGTGAAAAAATAGTAGAATGCCAAAGTCAATATGCATTTTTATATTATTTGTATATTCTACAATTTGTTAAAAGAAACTTACATTTAGCAGGTCAAAATGGCTTGATTGAATGTATTTTAAAAGTAAGCGTACTTTAAAAAAAATAAAACCAAACGTACTTTTATGATGCTTTTTAGTAGAAGAACGGAAGTGATGAATGGAAAATAATTGAAGAGTCTATTTGACCCGTTTCCCTTTATACATTTAATTAGTTATACTCCTTATTTGAAATTCAATTACAGAAGTTAGTCCTTGAAAATTATTTTTAAGGAATTAAAAAAAATGACTAATAATTACTACGTACTATACTATAATCTCATAGTTTAATAATAAAAAATCTCATAGTTTTATCACTTAAATGTAAAAATTAAACATAGTAATACTATGACTAATTAAATTGCTACTACGGCCATCTTACTGAGGGAGATAACATTTTTGTAAGCAACATTTATTTTAGTCCTATATATACAAAGTACTATCCCCCGTCTCTTTTTAATCGCAACATGTTGAATTTTACACTATTCGTGTGTTCTACTTTGACTACATTTTATATTATTATTTTATGAAAATTAATTTTTAAAAAGAATATTGTTCAATTCATCTCATTACAAATTTTCAAAATCTAATTTTTAAATATTTTTTACTAATAGAGATTAAGATATAATTACAGTTAAAGACGGGCGTTAACAAGTGTGAAATATTGACCGTTGCAACTAAAAAACGGAGGAAGTATGTAATAGTCCCTATTTCTTAATGAAATTGAATATTGATAGTGATGTCATATTGAGACTCTCGATATGGAATTTGAGACATGATAAAAAATAAAGCGCAAACCTTGAAACGAAAGTCAACTGATGGACAAACAGCATCATAAGACTTTTCCAAGAGTTCTTTATAGGAGGGCTTAAAAGAAAGAGTTTGATCCATCCAAACGCCGTTAGCCGCCGACAGACTGGGGCCGCCGAGATGACTGGCGTCAGCAAGGATGTTGGTGAGGACATGGAAGCCAAAAGCATCGAAATCCGCGGTGGAGTCGGACTTGAGGAAGGAGAGGAGGCTGCGGCGTGTTTCGCCGGTTGAGCCGGCGGCGGCCATGCCCAACAAGATGCTAATGGAGAGGGGAGAGAAAACGAGGTTGGAATCTGCTTTGACCAGGTCAAAGAAGACATGCTTCGCAAACATTAAGGATGCATCCGTCTGGTTGGCGATGAATTTAGAGACGTCCATGGCGATGAATGCACGCAACCCTAGCTGCGTATTCTGAAATCTTAACTACAGGTTTTCCAGAGGTGGCGATTATATATGCCGTATTTATTTGTTTATTTTTTAAGCAAAAGTAAATCCAAATTTATGAATTGTTACGTTCTCAACCAAATCAAATTCATGGATTTACCCCATTATTATAATTATATACGCGATCAATATCAATATATATGCAATCAATATCAATATATCATTGAAATAAATCCAAAATGGGACACGGGAGTTATCGGAAGACAGAAATAAAATTGTCTTAGAATTACTTTTTGAATTCAATTGAAGTAGTGTATGCAGCATATTATATTGCATAAAATGGCATGAAAGTCGAAGTGTGGATATATAGATAATTATGTCAATTTTAAGATGAGAAAATGTAAAAATAACTTTAAGTCAAACAACATAGATTCTCAGAGGTCCCCCACGGTCGAAATGGGAATTCTCTTCTCATTCTCAGAGGCATGACCAAGGAATTTATCACCCGAGAACATAGATTCTGAGCCACCATAAACTCCCTTAGAATCAAAAGCTTCAAAAAGATTGCCCAAGGTATCTAGACTTGCATCATTCCATCCCGGGTGATTTTGTCTACCTATATTTTCGTTGCCTGAAAGTAAAAATCTCATGTTGCTATGAGCATCTTGCTTTGAGACATTCTCCATTTTTGAAGTTTTTCCAACATTATTGGATCCCAAAGACAAATTACCCAAAGCATAAGCAAGAAGTCTCTCAAATTCATTAAGCAAAAAATGGGAAAGTGATTCCACCCCCTTTGTCAAAGTGGCCTGAATGAAATCTTTGAGTTTTGCAAATTCATCAGATTGCTCAAGGGCGTGAACACCATCAATAGAAACCAAGTCCAAAGAATTTTCAAAGTGCTCAATATCAGCTTGAAGTAATGTACCCGAAATGGAAGGCTCATTTACACACGAGTGGAGATAATCCCTATCCAAAGGTAGAAAGTCTGAATCAATATTGGGACTCCTGGTATCCAAACACAGATCACCTGAATCATATTCAATTAATGTGGAAATAGAGTTCAAAGAAGTGATGACTTTTGTAATCCCGGTAAGAAAAAGAGTTATCCTCTCTCCATGTCCTCCTTGAGGAATAAATATAGAATCACATCCCTTATCAATAATTCCAATAAATCCCCCAAAGAAATTAGCGTCATACAAAATAATAAAAGATTTATTCATCTCCTACCTAGTACCAAATCTATTACCCCGAGAGATTTTGTGTATGGAATCCTTCAGCTAATTAACCTTATCAATATCAAGATCTATCACAGATGACAATCCATTCTTGTTTTCAGAAAATCGAACAGCCTTGTAATCAATAATTTTAAAATGAAAATATTTTCTTTCAATCCAAAAATTAAACTCATCTGGGGAGCTGTTGCAACCTGATTCCACTGTTGGGCACCTCAATTTAGCTTGACTCCTGCCGTGATAATCAGACGAATCCCTTTGACGTAGGTATAGAGACTTGTCAAGATGCGAACTCCAATCTGTTCGCCTAGGTTCAAAATCAGTCCGTGAACTCCAATTTTGTTCTTGACACGAGGACCAATCAGAATGGTCACGAGCTCCGACCGATCTTGGAGATACCCAAAACTTCCGTCGTTCCCTGAGGAATGGCCGCTGCGATGGACACCACCGCACCATGTTGCCTGAGCATTGTTGCACTCTGCATCTGCGCAGAGGAGGGCGCTTATGTTGTGGCCAAGGATGATAAACGTTGGCCCGTATCCGTTCAGTGAACCTGGGATGCTTCTCCCAAACAGAATCGCCGATCCGGTGATGACAATCGCCAATTTTTTTTGTAAAAACACATGAAGTGAATGCATTACATTTTATCATTTCATTTATGGATAAGGGTCAGATAGGGCCTTGAACTTGGGAAAAAATGTCAAATAAGGCCATATTTAGGATGCTATGTCCGGTTGACGCCATTTGGGGCGGTTCCCGGTGAAATTTTTTGATGTTTTTTTTAGAATCTTATTCATTAAGTCTAGTTTACTCATATCAAATTTGAACTAACAGTTCAATCGGGAAGACATTCAAATGAATTCTTGAAGATAACTACGCTTTTAACTGCACAATTATCTTCAAGAATTCATTTGAATGCCTTCCCGATTGAAGTTTTAGTTCAAATTTGATATGAGTAAACTAGACTTAATGAATAAGATTCTCAAAAAATTTCATCAAAAAATTCTATCAGGAACCGCCCCAAATGGCGTCGGCCGAACAGAGCATCCTAAATATGGCCTTATTTGACATTTTATTTCAAGTTCGAGACCCTATCTGACCCTTATCCCTTTCATTTATTCATTGTTCTCTTGATCCCAAATAAAGAAAGTGCTTAAACTAATTTCAATTTTGTACTTTTATTACCTACTTATAGAAGAAATAGAGCAACTAAAAAGACCTTTTACACTTTAGTTTGTACTCCGTATATAGTAGAATCCAAAAACATGTTTTTCAGTTGGAATATGTTGGAATACAAAGCGTATATATGGGGTGTTTGGATCTGATTCTCAAAACTGATTCTGCTTCTTCAGAGAGTACTAGAAGCAGAAGCTGGAGTGTTTGGGTGAAATTCGAGAAGCATTTTTGGTGCTTTAATTTACTCTCAGAATCAGGTTTTTTAGAAGTTGGGGGGTACCAACTTCTGAAAACTGATTCTGATTCTGCTTCTGCTTTAAAAAAGAACCAGAAGCAGAATCAGTTCCAAACACCACCATATATATGAAGTTGGAATGTGTACCTACAAACAATTAGCTACCTAATATATTTGCTAAAACTCTCGGTGAAGCAAGATACACTATACTATGGCAAGAACTTGTAATTATGGTTAAATTAGACGATCACACATACAAGCTAGTCTAAATGTTTAATAGGGCCACAAATTGAGGGGGAACTCGTCAATCCCAAACTCAAAACTGAATTCAAGAATATCTTCAGAAGCACCCTAATGTTCAAAAGCAGAGTCCTATATTTACCAGGAGCATGTTGCCTTAATCAGCAGCGTGTCTTAATATAGGAGCATTCTGATAACAACAGCATCCTATGGAATAAGTTAAATTCTTGAAAAAAAACTAACTCAAGGGGGGAAGAAGCAAATAGTTCAAAACTCAGGGGGATGTAAGCAACAAGGTCCGAAGTTTGTAGAAGATATGAAAGCAGTATGGTTCGAGTCATCATAGAGAGTAAAAAGAGAAGGAAGCATAGCAGGCTACCATAATACTTGCTGGCAGCCTGCTTGTGTAAATATCACAACTAAATCTGGATAAAAGATGGGTCACATTCAAAGAACACATTTTGAAACCAGATGACTTGAACAACTCTGGAAAACGGGTGGGACTTGATAAAAGTAATTAGGGCACAGACGTTCTATATAACTAATAAGAATTGTCTCTTGAAGGAAACATGAAACTAGAGACCTAGTTTCAAGAACAAGGAAAGCAATGAGAATCTAAGAAAAGAAAATTTTGAAAAAAATGGCAGCTAACTGCTATATCACCAGCAACCTGCTAATGAACTGAAAGTCGCAAACTGGTACAATTGAGCAAGTAACCTCAAAGATTCATGGAGTGGCCCCCATTGAAGATTGGCATGAAAATAAGGTAGTAGGTATTGTGTGGTGAAGAATTGTGCGGTGAAGAGAAAAATATGTAAAAATGTGTAAGAAAGAGTAATTAGGGATGGAGGGAGTATTGCACAAGTATTATGCATTTTCAATAAATTAATTGAATTTTATTAGCACATAAAAGTTATTCGGTTCGTTTTGAGCCGATTCTTAAACTCGATTCTTAAATTCATGCTTGATTGATTCTTTCCATATATTTAAGGGAAAAGGGTTAGATAGACCCTCGAACTTACATAAAAAGGTCAAATAAGCCCTTATATAGGATGCTCTCTCCGGCCGTCGCCATTTGGAGCTGTTCCCAGTGGAATTTTTTGAGCATCTTATTCATTAAGTCTAGTTTACTCGTACCAAATTTCAGCTAAAACTTTAATCGGGAAGACATTCAAATGTATTCAGCACTATTTTAAAATGATTCTAAATGATATGATCTACTCTATTGAGCATGATCGTGCATCTAAAGCTGATTAGAGGGTTTGCAGAAAGATGATCGACCTTTTCGTGGGAGGTCGGATTCCCAGGTCGATTTTGAATTTTGATTTTGAAATGAGATGTTTAACTGGCGGTTTGAGTTCTAGTTGTTTAATGACCCAGAGTTCCAAATCCTATTATTCCGTATTTGTTATCTATTACTCCCTCTGTCTCATTTTACCTGTCTTACTTCAATTTTTGAGTTGTCCCAAAATAAGTGTCACATTTCCCTTTTTGAAAAAAATATGTGGTTCACAACATTTCACTTTACTATACTCAAATCTCAACCACAACTTTTACTTTTTCAATCAGTTTATTAAAAATTGTGCCAAAAACAAAGGAGACACATAAAAAAATATGAAGGAGGTAGTAAGTAGCTTCATTTGAGCATTCTTTTAGGTTTATTAAGTGTCAACAAAACTAAATTTTATTTTTTCTAAGCAACTGTGGAGTACTTGTTGAGTTAAGTCATGGAGGTAGGGTACTTTTTATTATGTGTTGATAATATTATATGCCCTCAATAAAAAATCAAATATTTTTCTTGTCACACAAAAGTGTCAATATATACAAGCTATTGTGCCACTTTTTTAAGTGTCATTAAAAATGTGTGTCAACAAATGTAACATTTCTTGTAATGAGCTAGTTTAATTTGCACATTTTGCTTTACGTTTCATATACAAGTAATCTTATCTTCAGATTTATAATGTTGTGCATCTCATATTTGGTGGGTCCAATTCCGAGACCTGTTGGATCTGGATCATGGATTCGGGTCCAAAATTTCAGACCCGTCAGGTATGCGGGTCGGGTATGTGACTTTTATTAGCTTAGTGGCCGGGGCTTGTCCTATTTCAGCACCAAGACGGTTCAATTTTTTGTTGCTCGGTTTTTAAGCTTATTTTAAAGGTGACAACTCCGGTATCCATTTAAAAAATGGGGTACCGTACCTATCATGCATTTGATAGATCCAAATCATTATATGCTTTTTAATTTAGATTTAAATAATTCAACTGCATCATTCTTATTGGTCCATTTGGACAAAAGTACAGTACATTTGGGGTACCATAGAATCTACCTATTTTAAAAATCTCAGCTCTACACTTTATGTTATAATTCCGAATAAAAAATGACTAATATATAGCTTTAGGGACCTTCTCCATGTTTATAGCTTTGACAAAATAACATTAAACAGAAACACTCATTTGAAAAATTTATTCTTAATTATAAGCTTCTACGGAGTATAAAGCAAAATACTTATAATAAAGTTTTTTAACATTTGTACATAGTTACATACCCCTTAAGTGGAGATCCCAGTAAACTGGAATTAGGGCATAGGAGTATAGGAGTACGTGGTTGTGTTGAATTACACTTTTAGCCAATTAAATTAAACCTCCGAAAAATCGAACAACTAGCTAGGCTGATTGAGAAGATCAACCATGTAAGAGATATTCAAAACAAATACCCAGCAAGAACGAAATCAGTCAGGCGCATTAATGCATTAAGGTGAGAAATTGCTTTTACTACGATGTTCAAATTAAAGGAAAATGAATGCCCATTAACTAGATGAATCTCAAAAAATGCAGCACTATTCACTGTACTAGAATTAAAATTAAACATGGGTTCACTATATTCTAAAATGAACACGCAAAGAATTAAAACTAAACATCATCATATATATCCAGCTGCATGACTGCATGGAGTGCATGTCATCCACCATCTTAAAGAAGTGGATTAAGCACGGTGCCAACAAAGACAACAAGCCCGGACACATCCTCCCGAATGAAGAAAGCGAAGGGATGGTCTGCTACAAAGTCTATTTTCTCTTCGAGAAGCATAGAATATGAGCATAAAAATCTACGCCACTTCTGATTAGCTGCAGTTGCTTTTGTTCCTCTCTCATTAACATCAACAACACACTTGTGGATAATGTTTGAGACAATTGGGCTCTCCTGCAGGTCGACAACCATTTTACTTACACCTCCCTGGTAAAACCGCACCCCGAGCTTCTTCAAAACACTTAAAACATCAAGGGAGAAGGTTATTTTGAATTTCGGTATGCGAAACGTGCCCACTCTAACTTGCTTGTCTGGAGCGTGGCGCTGAAGAAAGCCGGATTCTTTAGCGATGGTCTCCATCAAAGCTGGGAGGCCATCATTTGCATTCGGCAAGACGAAGTACATGGAGAACTGTCGCCCCATTTCCATTGTACCTGTCTTGTATGGCATTCTCAGGATTTTGAATTCGTTGAACACTTTGACATACTGATTCTTACCACTACTCATGAAGGGCACTTTTACAGATGTTCCATTCATGAGGTAAAATTCTCTATCCTTTGTATGACTTTCGTCAAACTTCTCAGCCCAAACTCCTTTAAAGTAAAGGGCGTTTGCAAGGATAATGATTGTTTCAGGACTAACCTAACTCTTATCAAGTAAATTTTGTATAAGGCCATTGGTTTTCTTCTTGATCCACACATTCACATCATCAACTGCTTCACTTGTCTACAAAAGTATATGAAGCATAAGCGAACATGCTTATTACATACTTACATTGACATAAATTATTATTTTAACCACATGGTTATATTCATGGCCACGCAGATAAAAAGAGTCAACGTACCTTGAAACGAAAGTCAACTTCTTGAGAAACAGCATCATAACACTTGTCCAAGAGAGCTTTATAGGAGGGCTTAAAAGAAAGAGTTTGCTCCATCCAAACGCCGTTAGCCGCCGACAGAGTGGGACCGCCGAGATGGCTGGCGTCGGCAAGAATATTGGTGAGGACATGGAAAGAGAAAGCGTTGAAATCGCGGGTGGAGTCGGACTTGAGGAACGAGAGAAGGCGGCGGCGTGTTTTGCCCTTTGAGCCGGCGGCCGCCATACCTAACAAGATGTTGATGGATAGGGGAGAGAAAACGAGGTTGGAATCTGCTTTGACCAGGTCAACAAAGACATGCTTCGCAAACACTAAGGAGGCGTCCGTCTGTTTGGCGATGAAAGCTGAGAAGTCTGTGTCTAGCTTTCGTTTCCGGTGGGAAGGCATGGCGATGGGGGGAAGGACGGGTTTACGAGTGTGAGATTTAGGGTTGGAATTTACAAAAAGCGAAGCGCAGAGAGGAAGCTTGAGCAGTAAATATTTCTTTTTTTCCTTTCCTAGCTTTATATGTTTCGGAAGGGTGCCAACCGTGAATATTCTGTTATGGGAGGAAAAGGATGGATGAGTATTCGATTTTTGGATGATTTGTTAGAGCCCTAACATGTGTTATACGGAGTATGTATCCAATATTCCAATCGCCCTTCTTGTAGTAAAATAGAATGTTGCCTAAAATAGAACTATTATGTTTTATTGCTTAAATAAGAATATATATTACCTTATTTTGACAGTATCATGATTTAAACTTAACAGCACTTTCCAAATTTAATACTACCTCCATTCTCTTTTAAATGCAACGTTGGACTTTTTGCACTATTCACATGTTCTACTTTGACTACGTTTTATTTATTAATGTGATAATATATATTTTTGAAAAAAATATTGTTAAAATTTTCTCATTATAAATTTTCAAAATCTATTTTTTAAACTTTTTTTACTAATCGGGAATTATATATGGGTTTTTTACTTGGATATTACTAATTTTGAACCAATTACCTAAAAAGTGACCACTTTTAAAAAGGGGCAAAAAAGTGATCAAGAAGGTCATATATGTGCAATTAGAAAACATGATGTAACTGTAAAAATTTTATGTCACTGTGTTCGTTTTTTTATAACTACAACCACCGCCCGTGTCACTACAACCACCACCCGTGTCACTGTAGTCACCGCTCGTGTCACTATAGCCACCGCCCGTGTCACTGTAGTCACCGCCCGTGTCACTGTAGTCACAGCCCGTATCACTATAGTCACCGCCCGTATCACTATAGTCATCGCCGCCACAGTGACATCACCACAGTGACGCCGACATGATGAAACCACCGTAGTGACACCACCGCAGTGACACTGCCGCCGACATCGCCCAATTACCTCCGCCGGCCGCCGCCTCTGGCAGCAACCACCTCCGGCAGCCACCTGCAACCACTGCTGTCAACCACCACAATCAAGCCCCTGCCTCACCCAGCCCCCTCCCCTGCATCACCCCAGCCCCCAGCCTCACCTAGCATCCACCACCCCTGCCCGCTAACTGTTGTTGCCGTGCCTAGCCTGATGTCGCCGCTCCCCTGCCCCATCACTGCATAGCGGACTCACCAACCAGCCCCACTGGACCTTCACTGCCCACCAGTCCACCCGCCCTTGAACCACGCCACCACCCCCCGCCCACACCGCCCCGAGCCCCACCCTGCCCTGTCCAAAAGCCCCAGCCCAATCTCAGATCTGTCCCCATGTAATGCGCAACAAAGCTATGACAGCAACCGTGGGCGCCAGCAACGGAGGACGGTGACCAGCCAGTAGGCTCCAGAGACGGCCAGTGACTAGCCTTCTTAATCGCCATTGCTCGTCATCTCCGTAGCCACAGTTGTAGAGGTTATCGCGCGCTGAAATCGAAGCTCGAGACACAGAGAGAAGAAAGGAGAAGAAGTTGCAGTCCTATGTCTCTTCACCTTCTTCTAGAAGAAGGATGCCGGTCGCCATCTTCTCGCAAGGACTCCAAATCTTCGTCGCAGCTCGTGGTCGAAGGAGATAGTAGCGCAGAGGTTGGCTTCGATGGAGCGTTGGGAGAATAGGTTTTTTTTTTTAATTTTAAATGGGTTAGTTTTTTGCCCATGTCAAAATTGATCATATTTCCGTCTCTTCAAACTCCACAAGTCATACTTGGGCCATTCTTTCATTATATATATCAATGGTCAAATTTGTGCCTCGGCAAATGTGAAATGTTGACTGTTGCATTTATTTAAGAACGAAGGAAGTAGTATTTACTTTTATTTACGAAAAACATGACAGTCCTGCTTTGAAATTTTGCTACATTTTTAATTTTCTTCCATTTAGAGAATTTTCGCTAGTAAAATCTGAAAATCTATTCTCCCAATCCAAATATTTACACAGTATAGGCGGAGAGGGCCACGGGCAACGGGGCAAGGACTCTTCAAAAAAATCATTATAAGAAAAATAAAATTGACCCACGCGGAAAGTATTTGCCCCACAACTCCCCCAAAATATAAGTAAATGTAATATTGGCTTTCCAAATTTTAATTGAATATTTATTATGCGTGAAAAGTGAAAGAAATCATATATAATCTAAATTTAAAGTTATAAAGGACACCTACTCTATATGAATTTATCTACAATGAAATATTGTGTATTTTTAAAACAAACATAACAAAAGTTTGAGCTCAGGTCCAATTCCTAAAAATAGAAAGTCAAAGCTAAGCGACATGTACTCTAAGACAATGTTTGGCAAAACAAGCTGGAGCTGAAGTCTGATGTCTGAATTACAGGCTATTGTCTGAATGAGAGACTATTGTCTTAAGCTGAATTTTGAAGTACTGAATCTGAATTGCTAACTGAATAAAGTAGACCCGTTTGGCAAAAGAGCTGGATTGGTGCCCGAATCATATGAAACTACATTAAAGGGCATACAATTTATTATTTGGAGTAATATAATAAAATATTTATTATAATGATATTTTGTATTTTTATAAATATTAGAATATACGTATAGTATAGTATGATTAAATAAAATAAATAAATTACTATAATAACTTTATATTTTAATAAATACTCCATATGATAGGTAGAATACACACACATCATTAATCTAAAAACCAAGTGAGGCACACACCGCAATTTTTTTTTGAACGGTTACATATGATGGATATCATCAAATTAGTATAAAATATTGAATTAAATCATACCACAAACAAGAGGATTTCTCGTGTCATAAAAGCATCAAGAAATTTTATACTGAGTATCCAAGCACTCCATCAAACGTGATGTGGTTACTTTTTCTCTTGGGTTAAAAAATTCACACTTTAAAAGAAGAAATTTGCAATGATGTAGAACCATCAAAGGAGATACGTATGGACCGTATGGTGATGATGTGTTTTATCGTAATTAGAATATGAGTTTTGGGCTGCGATATAATTGCACTAGATCAGAAGAAATCGGCAAAACAGAGGGATAATATAGGGATTGCAAGTTGTTGTGCGGAAGGCTGAATCGAAAGGTTTCTTATCATAACGTTTTAATTCAGATGCTTTATTTCAGCCAAAGCTTTGTTCAGCCCTTTGTCCAAACGATGCTATTTGTACAATAATGAACTGAATTTCAGAAATTTTGGCTCATTTTGAGTTGAAATGTCATGCCAAACATAGCCTAATACTCTATACTTGTTATGAATTTATTTTATTCTATTCATTTGCACTAATTATCTTTGTATTTACTGTGTATTAAAGAGACTAGTTATTAGACCAGGCCAATTATGTATCTAGGTCATAATCCTTTTGTAGTACGGAAGTCTAACTTTCATACCATGTTTTTTTTAAGAGAAAATCGCATATACTGATATCATTAGAATCGGGATCGTTTCATCGATCAATATCAAAATGATCAACACTGACTACAAAACTCACCTTCCAACTACTACTTATAGCTCTGCGATTAGACATAGAGACGATTACCCCCAGAGGAGCAATATGAATCGCTAACCACCAAAAGGGCATAATGCAGCTATTGCATGCTGAACAAATAGATCCGTCCCCTACTAACCATATCAAATCTAGACGAAACCTCAGCCATCGTAATAAACCTGTACCATGAACTTTAACCAAAAACAAAACGATAAGAACAGAGTTCCTTATCAAAAACTTAAATCTGAATAAAACAAAATTTAAAAAGATAAACGGATGGATCAGATGACCCATGACAGCGGCGGGAACCCTAATGTCACAGATCCTCCATGGCGGCGGTTCAGGAGGGGGCCGAATCATCATCACTTCATCTTCATCCTCCATCGCTCGGATCCTATTCGCAGCCCTTGACGCCATAGCCTCCGGCAGCAAAACTTCGTCCTCATTAATTTGAGAAGAAATCTCCATAACACCACTGTCAAAAGTGATAGAAGAAGAACCCTAGAAATCTTAGGGAAGAAAACAACGCTCATACGAGTGTATAGACCACTTTTTTAAGCTTAGACGGACAAGAGTCTTTGTCGTTCCTCTCCGATGATGGTTCACCCTTCTAGGGTTTCCCACATGCGGCAGCAACCATGCGAGAAAACGCTGGCACCTTTCTTGTCATTTTTGAAGTTCATTAACTTTCATAACATGTTGAAAAATAAAGTTGTTTTTAAAATGTTTTGGGTCTCATTAAGATGTATTTAAATTGTTTATGGTAAGGTTGGAGTGGCATAAAAAATTAGAAGGAATGAAGATGTCACTCCCCAGACCGCATCTAAGCGCGTGTACTACCGCCGTATGACCAAATGACAACACTCACAAATCAATGTGGCTTGATCATACAAGGCATCCATGAACATAGTCAATAGCTACACAGTAATTAAACATACATTACAACATCACATGTTTGGATTGAATGAATAGCGGAAATATTTAATAGTCAATTATGGGTCACACATGGCCAAAATGTGGGCTCGCAGGCCCAAAAAAATGTATTCATTACAAAATAACCATAAGCACAGTTTATAGTTTTAAACAATAAAGGAAGCATGAACATGTCTTCCTTTGGATCACTTCACCGGGCAACGTGCGAGTAGCAAGTTTTACTTCAACCTAAAATGGTGCCACCACCCCCCCCCCCCCCCGAAGGGGTTCGTGCGCGAATACCGAGTGAGCGGTAGGCTGAATGTAGCATAACTATTGTTTCAAGTATAAGACCCACACATAGAGTGATACATACATGTATATTCCTTCCCCCCAAGTTATGAAATACTTATCAGTATATATATATACACTTGGAAATACCCGACCCGTAGGTAATTGTTTATTTGGGAAAAAAGTAGTAGTCAATGTCCTCAACTTAAATCCCAACCCACCCATATACCTATGAGTGTATAGCACTCCTTTTGGTCTAAAGCAACTATCAGTAATCTATGAGTTTTGA